ATTTTTTTAAATCTGTACCAATCATTGAGGAGGAGGTACAAAGTAGGAGAAGCAGTTGAGTGTGAGAGACATTTCAAATTTTCTAATTTGATAACTAAAATATAGATGTTCTGCAACTAAATATCAAGATGCCTAATGAACACTTACAGTTCAATGACTATCAAGTAATTTTTTAAGGTAATGGATCCGTTTTTATTTGTAGAAACTTGGAGAGAATTTTAGTTTTTCCCCTTCACAACTCCCTCACTTTGCCCTCCCCTTTCAAGCTTGAAGGAGGACCTACGGTCCCTGTAAAACTTGCAAAAAATGTGAATGCCCCTATCTAGAGCCAGTTTTTGGTTTGTCTCTTCTGGGTTCTTGTAGAACTATGGTGGTTCAACATGGTGAACTCCATGTTGGTGAAACAGCTAATTTGATATTCCTACATTCAGGTGATTGTAGACATATGAAAACATACCTATGAATATATGCCATTTCTGCCAATAGATCCTCCTATACACTGGACCTTTAACAATTTTTTTTCCTACAGTTCTACTGTTAATTTATTGTTTGAACTATATTTACAAATTAATTTCCTAATAATTATTTCAGTTATTCACCCCCCTGAGTCTGATTTACACATAAACACTTGACAAGATGATGCTACTGTATCAACAAACTAGAAGAGCAATACAAGAGCACTGTGAGGGCATGAGGAGACGTGCAGTGCAGTCTCTCCTGTTAGCTATACAATTCAGGCAGGGACTTGATTTTGAGTACAAATATCTTAAATAGTTCTTGATAAAATGAGGCCTACCATTACATATTTTTCCAGCCTAATGACTTTGTTGATCCCTAGACTTTCCCTCTAGTGCACACATGAAGTTGACATTCTTGGTTTTGTGTAAAAATGTCTTAATAACTATTGGATGGATTGATTTGTTTGATGAAATTTGGAGTAGATATTCAATGTCTAATGGCATTCAAGAGGATGAATATTATACCAGCGAGCCAGAATTTCAGGCTCAGCTGTACTTTGTGTTCAGTGCAAATTACCAAATGGGCATTTTTACAACAGCCATTTTGAATAGCAGGAAAAGCACAGGTCAAACATCGTTGGGTAATGATGACTCAGTTCCATTAAGTGCCTCAATAAGCCATGCTAGTGAGCCAGTATGCATGATAACAGGACCCTGGAACTGGCTTACCTAAATGGAATGCACTTGTTATTAATGCTCTCAATTACAACTATAATGATAGAACTGCTATGACATTAGTATGTTTAGCTTGATTGCATGCTAACAGGGTGACATAAAGTTAACATGCCTTGTCATTGTGCGAATGTTAGCATGCTGTCATTAGTATTTAGTACATCCTCACAGAATAGCCAGCATAGTTGTAGACTGTTACACTTTGTTCAGAATCGCATACCTAACCTAAATGTAGTGCGTTCCAAGTGCATAGTATGTGAATTTTGTGTATGCAGGAAATGCCCGGATGCATAGCAACAATTTCTAAGTATGCGCCATGAGCTTACTGAACACACTCAACTGCACCATGTCTCTTCAGGCACCACACTGTGGCTTGTAAGAGGCATGGTTAGAAAAAATAATCAAGAATGATGGCAAGTGACCGTGAAGCATGAGCTACTCAGGAAACAGGATGTTAAGGTGCAGTTGAGCAGAAAAATGCAGGAGCTCACAAATGTAATGTACTGTAGAAAAAGTATTTTACACTTAAATATTTAATCATTTTAATTTGCCTTAAAATAACCGTGGAAACAGTGAGTGGAAGAGGTAATTTTGATATACAATTTTCATTCAACAATCTCTCCAATCTGTAATGCTGTCATCAATACAGTCCTGTGATGCAGAGAGGACGTATTGCTTGAGTACACCTCTGTGTGAACAGTCCACTGGTAATGGCATACTTAATCATTCATTTAGTAAGCAGTATGCAGTACGTTAGCATACACAGCATTAGTCTTTCTCTAAAACTATTAAATAACATATTACATATGTTTATGTACACTGGACAGACTCTCAGCTTGTAAGAAGTTGTGGTATTGTGAGAAAAACTTTGTATTATAAAATTATACCATCATATTGTGATGGTATAATTTCAGCTGTGTCAGAATCACAGATCTCTAATCATTTATATTCAAATTTGGGAAAGTCTCACACGTCACACAAAAAAAATCCTAGATGACCTTGTAGCCAAGTTATTGGGAAAGCCACTACAAAAAAAATGAATCTTTAGAGATTGACTTTCTGGAGAGGTGAGGTTTAAGTAGGACAATGAGTATAATATAATGAGTGTGTTACTTGGATGAACTTATTTCTCATACTGGGAGAAATTATAATGAGAATAACTCTTTCCTCTGTCTACTCCATTTCTCTGTCTGCATCATAATGATGGAGTTTCTTGCATGAGCTACTTGTTTCTCACCACATGTAAGGATATCTCTCTCACTCCATCTCTCTCTTTCTTTCAGCCCCCCCTTCTTTTTCTCTGTGTAGTTCCTGGCAGGGCTACAGTCTATTAAACACAGAGACAGTGGGTGCTCCCCCGTGGGCTCATTAGTGAGCTGGCCCGCACGGCCTAGGGACTGCTGGAACAGACCATTCTACTTGTTCCCGGAGGGGTGCCAGAGGATTCATTATGCCAATGTGCTATGTAGTCCCTTGGTGTTGAATACACAATGTGATGTCCTATATTGGATTAATAGATAGGCTATTTAAGCTATCAGTTATGATTGGAGTTCCCATGTGGTTGAGTAGCATGTGTCTTTAATTTTTATAAAATGTTAAATAACCGTTGATCACAGCCTGACCATTGATGCATTGTCAAATGTCAGTGGTACTGTACATCCATGCCTTCATGAGAGAATCGAGATTATTCTCAATTCTAAAATGTTCACTTTGTTTTGGATATAAAGTTTCTGCAGGGGAATTATTTTCCTGTTATTGCATAGTGAATATGTGAAGAAAGAAAGGATTGAGGTGAATCTTTTTATGAAATTGAAAATGTGGCGTATATGATTAAAACTGACAATCTGCTCTTTCTATTTGAAGAGCAATTTGAATTCATTATTCATATCTATTATAGTAGGTTCCTATGGTGACAAATTTCCATGGTAGAAGTGTATCTAAATGTTTATATAAACTTTTCAAACCATTCCTGCAGCCCAATCCACATAATCTTCATCTGCTGTCCATCCATGTACTGAGGATATTGCAAGAGTGTTAGACATTTTGAGGAGGTGGATTACACAAAACATAAGCAGTTTATTTTGCCATATTTTGCCAAAACTATTACAGTTTGAAGCCTACTTAGCACACAGATGGGCAGCAGAAAAGTGGATTATTTGTAAATTTGTCAGCATGTGGGTCCACTGTAGATGACATGAGCTGACCACAGCTGCAGACAGTTTTCAAGTTTATAGGGAGTGAATTTTCTGTTAAAAAGGCAGATTTTCAAGTCAGTATCACTGTAATTCGTAGACTTTGTCTTAATTCTTTCTCAAATGTTTGTGTTGCGTACAATTGTGGACAGTGCAAGGTGCGTGTGAAATATGCAACAATCAAGTAGTGTAATTATGTAATTGTGTCACCTGCACCAATTTTCAGAATTACCATGATAAATTGCCATGGTGAAAATTAATGTTTCAACTGTTATTGTGAACCTTTACCACAAAATACAGTTAACTGTGTTTTATGAATAGGCTCTATTGTATCTAATATCTAGGGAGAGTAGAGTCTAAGTGATGTAACACAGTGAAACACAATAATAACCTGACAGAGGCAATTGCTTCTGTTCTACTTCCTGTCTTTCTCCACAATGACTCTCCTGGAAAAACTCATTTCCTCAGCCACAGAGATTTCATTAGTGTGGCCCCATTGTCTGAACACAAGCAACTATTCTCTATTGAGGCAAAGGTGTGTGGGCACATACAGTATACACATAAGCATACACACACAAACACTTGCACACCAGCTCATACAGACACACACATACACATGTGCAGCCTCTTTACTTTTTATATTGAGGTGATGTTGAGAGCTAATCTAATTGTCAGTTTGTGATTGGATTAGTTCTTTGTTCATTTCTGCCTTTTGGTGTATGACATTTTTCAGTAATCGAGTTTTGAGTTTGTAACTTGACAATGAACCGGTAAATGTGTTGCTCACAATGGCATTATATTCTATACAAGAAAAAAACAATAAAACATATATTGGTACAAATAGAAGACATCCACCACTTGGCTGTTCTAATGTTACATATTTGTACTGGCTCTGTGGGTGGACACAAGGTTTTTAAGCGCATTCTGTGGAACAACATTATCTTCTTTCATCTGTATTGTCTCTATACATGTTGACTATACTATGGAGAGTCTTTGGGGACATGACCAACTAACTCATGGTCCCTAATCCTCTTGCAGGGATTTTATCATAATTTGTCTTGGGTCAAACCATGAAAACTAGATAATCAATTGTCAAATAGTTTGAATATTTTTTTTTAGGCGAAAGTTTCTTGCTGTAATGTTTTTTACGTAATGGACTATGCTATTAATATATCTAGTATTTACTGAGGTGAAACACAACAAATGGTTCATTTACTGTGGTATGAGATGATCTGTCTTCTCTGCTACTGAGAATGTTTTATTGGTTTTGCCAGATCTCTTGTTGTAAATCAATTTCAGTTTATAAATAGTATACTGTATACTTAAATACTGTATAAAACTGTATACTAAAATTCCCTGGTTGATGGGGTGCCCTGGTAGCTCACCTGGTAGAGCTGTGTCTTACTGCAGTGGCCCAGGGTAAGTTCCAGTTTGCGGCCCTTTGCTGCGTGTCATCTCCTCTCTCTTCTTTCTCTCCCCCCATTTTCCTGTCTCTTTTTAACTCTCCGTCCATTTAAGCCAAAAAGCTTGCTAAAATAGTAATAAATAAAAATGACCTGGTTGATCATTGTTTCAAATTGAATATAAATGATTAAAAATGGTTGTGTATGTCTTACAGGATGATTCTATAGTTCATCACATGGCTGCAAAAGCCATAGAGAACATCTCCACCACTGTCTCTGGCCCCTCCCACCACCTGGTTACCACAGAGATGGGCTCCGCCCTGTGGTACCTGTTCACTCACTCCACTGTGGAGGCTGTTAGAGTCACAGCCATCTCTGTAAGTTCACATGCATGACAACGCACACTCAAACACACAGTCATATATGTGTGATTGTGTACAGATACATGAACTAACATCTCTGTATAACCTAAACCACACACAGACAATCAAAACATTGCGGTTAAGTCTAGTATTTGATATTGAAAAGGAAAGCTGATGTTATGAAGTTATACATATTTATTTGAAACTGAAGATAAAAGCAGGCAAAGATGCTTGACTGTTTGAACTGTTTGTATTTTGTGATTACAGATGAAAAATTATTATACATTTAGACTCCCCTGGCTAACCGAAAAATAATGAAAATGATTATGACCTTCTAATGGTAAATGACAACAAATTATTTGTTGCTTTACCTACCAAATATCTATATGGGCTACATGTACATATATTAACTGAACCCGTATGTAGCATTTGATATACTGAATCATATGTGTGTGGAAAGTTATTTGTCACTCCGTGTTATGTACCATTGAGCACTTGCTCCTTATTTTAGGCACTAACAGCTTAACACGAGGAACTTCATGTGAAACATGACATTACAAGGGAATGGGAACACAATCCATGAATGACATTTGTTACCTCCATGTGCGCATGTATGTTTATATGTCTGTCTCTGTGTCTCCAGTCTCTTTCTAGACTAACCCGGGTGGTGCCAGCAGTCTTTTTGTCAGTGATTGACACCTGTGGCCCTGTGGCTATCTTGGAGGGAGTGGGTGGAGTGGGAGCCAGGGTCCAGCAGCATCTGCTCACAGCTATGGCCACTGCCCTACTCAACTCACGCATCCAAACACACCGCATCACACAGAACAGGGTACATGTATACTCTAATGTATACCTGCGTAAGAATATATTACAAAATGTCAAACACAAATACAGAGAGACACCCAACATAAGCAACAATGTTGTTTTATATAGCATGTCTTGATATTGCCACAGAGAAATTCTACAGAAGATTTAGGTGGTAAAATCAACACTGGGTAGGGTTTGATTTTTAGAGACATTTTTAAGGGAATGTCACTAATGGGGAGGTTTTTACACAAGGACTGAGGGATGAAAACACAACAACATGAGGAACAAAGGAAACTCTTCTCAATCTTTCAATTCTCAAATTTTTTACTTGGTGCTTCCTCTCTCTCTCTCTCTCTCTCTCTCTCTCTCTCTCTCTCTCTCTCTCTCTCTCTCTCTCTCTCTCTCTCTCTCAATGTCTCTGTATCTGTCTCTCTCTCGGTCAGTCTGTCTCTCTGTTGCTCTTTCTTCCGTACAGTTCATGAACTGTGCATGAACTAATTTGTCAGGAATTGCTTATTTAATTTTTTACAAGACAGCCCATCTAGTGTGTATGCGAAGTGCTAATCTTGGTAAGGCAGAGGGGCTAAAATTGATTTGAAGGTTTTTAAGTTGGGGTCTAGCAATGGTAATTGACTCTGAACAGAATTTATTTGCATTGAGCATTTCCAATTTAACACCGAAATACAAACTTAGTACTTCAACTCTGCTCTAATTATACACTGATATGCATTCACCCCCCTTCTCTCTCCCCTCTCCCTCTCTCCCCTGGCACAAAGACAGACAGTCCAAGAGTTTGTTTACACAGAACTCTGTCTGTTAGTGTGTGTGTGCATGCATGTGCGAGAGTGACTGTGTGTGTGTGCACATGCATGCACATACACTAATTTGTAGTGTGTCAGTATCTGGGCTAATTGGCTGAATGAACGTGCTGCAGCCTTCTACTTCAGCAAAGCATTATGGGTAGTGGGGAGGGACTTATCAGCTAGGCACACACCAGTAGGCTTTGAAATTAATTAACTTGGTTTGCCAGCCCATAAACACACATGCATGCACATTCTCTCACACAGACATACACACCGTCAGAAGTGTATGGTGTTGGTGATAATGATAATTGTAATGAATTTTGGCCAGTCACAAATTTCTCCAACCAGTTACAGTTGCTGAGTTTATGCTGAGTGAATGGATGTCGAAAGTAGCTGTAGGCATATAAGTTTGTTTTCGAGTGTGTGTGTGTTGTATGTGTGCATGTTGTGAGATAATGTGGAGTCTGAGCTGATTAGGTTTTAGCCTGTAAGCCGAAGCAGTGTCAGAATGAATTTTTTTCTGGACACCGTAAGGAAATTGATAATTGAATAATTTCTTGTTTATTTAAATACATTATATTGATATGTTGCAGGAATATTGTTTGATAAGATAATCTCAGAACATAGAATTATGTACCGTGTGGGGGAAAAAAGTCTCTTTATACTCTGAATTAACCTACTTGTTACCACATAAACATTTGGGTGACTGTGTTTAAAGGCTGTTCCATATAGCTGACTTGTATTTGAATTGCAAAGTATAGTACCTTGGACAGTACACCAGCAGAAACATTCATAACCAGTCAGGAAGACTTTCACTTTATTTTATTTGTGTGTTTGTGTCTTGTAGGATTTGGTGTTGAAGGTGCTGCGCTGTCTAGAGAGTCCATCTACAGTAACAAGAGCCAAAGCCTTACTACTACTACTGCTGCTAATACAGGACAACACGCACACACTGCTTTACTGCTGTCAACACAGGTAAATACACACTCACCACAAGCATGCACACGCTGGGTGCACAGATTATTATACCCACATTTGTTTTATATGACTAACAGAACAACAACCAGAATGTAGCTAACCTTTGGTGACTTACTGTGACCAAGTTAGTTGTATTAAAATTTAACCATCTCATATATCAAGTGGATATTTGAAGGTCTTCATAAACAGTATTTTAATGCATTATGAAAGCAAACATTGAGATTTGGTTGTTCTTTTGTAGAAAGTAATAATCTATGCAGCTCTGGAATTGATGATCTATCCTGTTTAGTATGGAGGAGGCTGCAAGTCTCAACTATAATTATTTTTTTTTGATTAAAGAGTCACACTCTTTTTAACTGTAGTGTAATGCAGTTATAACATGTGGGTCCTGCCTGAGAGGGATTTGTGTCTGTAACAGTTATCTTACTACATAGTATACCTTGTGCGCCCTCCTACTGGCTGACTCTACTGAGGCTTGGACCATTGAAGCTTACTCATAACTTCACTCAGTCTGTCAGACCCCTGGCTAATTAGTTTCTGTGGAATGTAGTTGCCCATGTTCACATATAGACTGAACTGTCAGAGAACAAACAAATAGCATTTGTGAATTCCATTTCAGGGTGGGATTCCCCTTTAATTATTTAGCTGTAGCTTTCAGACTGTGTTCTCTTACCCAGCCACACCATAGCTAAAACTGAATTCCCTCTTCAGTATACAGTGCGGTTGAGCAAATCCAAAATTGTGCTCCATGTTTTTGTTTTTGTGATATTATTAATTTGAAAGAAATTGGCATTTGTACTAACTACCACGTCTACACAAATTTACATAGTTAATTTGTGTATAAGATACAATTTCCAGCCAAGCAGTCCTTTCGGTCCAAGAGTCGTTCCAGAAGGCTTGTGTGTCTTATTGATCGCTGGAGAGGGAAGATGGCTCACTCCTGTCAGTTTAAGAGCTTTTCATTTTGTGTTGTGCAGTTGCACACACTCTACATCCGCAGTAATTTACTAAATCTGAAAACATTGTTTATTTGCGAACGTGACTTGTGTCCACACTACCGTTTTCAGGTTGTTACAGCCTATAGACAGTTGATCTTTTCACTGTACTGCCACAAAGCAGCTGAGCATGTCTGAAAATTTAGAATAGCTTTTGTTTTGGGTGTTGAAAAATAGCAGCTTAATGTGGACAGAGAAAAAGCTTAATTTCCACATGTAACTGACTTAGTGTGGACGAGTTATACAACAAACTGAGTTAAATATTTATTAGATTATTAAACAAACAAATTGGGCCATGCATGCTTTTATGAGTGATTTATCTTGAAACAGAGGTTTCACATTCTGTTAGAAGCACACAGAGATTGCTTTTCAACACAGTTATCTGTTATTTAAAGCAGACTGCATTTAAAAGGGAGACTTTCTCCATAAAAATGCTGCCTGAGGTTGTTGGCAAGGCAGTCGTACTCTGCATAACCTTTGCGTTAACTAGCACAGCAGCCGTGGGAATGATAATATAAATGTATGTACCCTGGACATTCAGTTTGTGCTGCTGTGTGTTGTAACTTCACTGGAACTTCAAATGGTTCATTAGCTGGTTGTCCTGTGTTTCACCCCACACTAACTCGCAATGCAGCTGTGAATGTGCATTAGCCCACTTGATCAGATGCATATGCATACGCAGCCAGTTCCCCTGGTAATGTATGACCAGTTGGTATTTCAGTTTCAAAAAGATGCCCTAGATTACTGACATATGGATGCTTATAACTATCTCCCTCCATGTTGCCATGTTGTCTCTTCTCTCTCTCACTCACTCTCTTTTTTTCTTACCATGTTTGTTTTATTTTTTTACCCTTTCTCTCTTTTCTCTCTCAGTCTGAGACTTTTTTTTTTTTATTCGCAGCTATCGCTCTCTGACATGTCTGAAGTAACTGCCAGATTAACTTTTCCATAAAAAACTAAGGTTAAGTTTAGTTAGTTAACAACCAATTATTTACTTTTCCTAATAATTATTTTTACTCACCAAAAATAAAGTGCCAATCCCAATATACAACTTTATTACCTTTTGACAGATATAATCACAAAACTTCTCCTTGGCAGCTGCTGATTAGCTTTTTTATGTCAGCAGTAATACAAGTCATTAAATGTTTTTAATTGTTTTACATTATTATAAGGACATTTAAATTATAAGCTGTGTCCCAATTCCATCATACAATGCTAATTGGGTTTTGATTATGTAGTGGGTTCACACTTACAGTCTGGCAAAACTAAGTATCCTCGAAGATTATTATGCATAATAAATACACTTTGGAGTGAAGGAAATAAAGCTATTCTCTGCTGGACATAATTAAAACAAATTGGTTGTGGACAGATCCAGCAATATTGTGGAAAACAAAAAGGAAGTAACTTTGGAAAAACATTTTGTTTCCAAATTTTAAATTGGCAGTAGCATTTCAAAGGTGTAGTTTGATGGTCATATCTGTCAGTGCATGTCTACATTACTTTCTTCTACACTAACTGCTTAAACACATAAAAATAGTAGAAAATAGTATGCAAATCATAGTATGTTTATGTCCCATAGAACTGAGACACAGACATAGCCGGCAGCAGGAAATGGATATGAAGCAGCAGGATTACCTCATTTCCTGCATCATATGCTGGGTCTCTTGTTATAATGACTTTGCTTTCTTATATTTAGATATGAGAATTATCATCATTCCTGAACGTCTGAATATGTGGCTTATACACGTGACTCCAAAACAAAATGAAGCCATTTTTTTTCCTCACTTTCTCTTCAGCTCTTTTTCTCTGCCCGTCTGTCCTCCCTGTCTCTCTCCTCTTACTTGCTTTCCCTCTTTTCACTGTGTTAGAGCTGTCAGACTTGACCTGCCTGTCTCTCTCCCACCGAGCACTCTGCATGACTCAACCACACACACAGACACACGTCTTTCCCTCAGTCCTGCTCTCACCCAGGCACGTTGTGTTTAATTAGCTCCTCAGTGGCGTGAAAATGTGTGTGCTCCTATGTGCGTGTTTTTGTCTGTATGTGATAAACTTGCACAGGCCTCACTGAGGAAGTGTCAAGATTGCCATTGGGAGTGGAGTGTGATGGCTTTCAACAGAGGCAGTCTCACACACACACACACACACACACACACACACACAACACACACACACACACACAGAGCGGGCCACTTGTAGGTCAGTTGTGTGTGAGTACTTTGTGAGTCTCCCACAGTGACTGACAGAGAGGTGGCAAGTTTGTCTTTCTTTATTTAGCAATCAGGAAAAAATGGCTGCAAGACTAACAGAGGAACACACAGGCTGAAGCCTAGCTGGGAGACAAATAGGCAAACAGACAACAAGCTGGCATAGAACTGGTTAGAGATACAGACAGACAAATAACTAGCCAGACAGACATGCATGTACAATAGATGGAAAGATATACTGAAAGCATTTTGCATTACATTTTGCATTATATTCAAGTCATCAGATAATGTTGACTGTTGTGTTGTTGAAGATTCTTGAACCAAATGTAAACTAAAGGGCCACCCCGACACCAAAATTCAAACACATTCGGTAATGAACCTGCTATCACTCTCACCTTGATTGACAAGAAAACGCAAGCTGCAGCAACAACGGTTAAATCTTACTTAAGCTTGATTTATACTTCTGCGTCGAATGAACGCCTTAGGTATGGTGTAACCTTGTACCCTACACCACAACAACTGTGACTGGTGTGTGTGTGTGCGTGCGTGCGTGCGTGCGTGCGTGCGTGCGTGCGTGCGTGCGTGCGTGCGTGTATTCTCTGAGAATAGGAAAGGACACATGCAAAGCTCAGATGAGTTAATAATGAGTATCCCTCTTCAAACATACACAAACACATGTCTTCACACACACAGACAAACAAAAGCACGAAAAAACACACATGGTCCTCTGAAATGCATTGGACCCCTAATATACTAACAGTAGTTGTGTTGCATTCGATATAACTGCAAACCCTGGCTGCTAATCTTTTATGCAGCATTATGAGGAAAAATACTGAATTAGTAATCCCCCACTGCCCCTCGCACCATTGCCACTCTTAGGCTTAAAATCAATATTTTTGTTAACTAATATGACCTCTCTGAATCTCTCTGCATGTATCTGCATTCATGCCGTTTGTTCTTGTGTGTACTTGTGCACACATGTGTGGGCGTGTTTGTGTGTCAGTAATGAATATCAGTTAGCAGTGGTGACCTTTCTGCTCTGCTCTGAATTTATGAATAAAATATTATTGATTACTGTTCAATACAAGTCTGACAAGAATAAAAATATTCTGTCTGTCTGTCTCTCTCCCAGCCAATCTCCATGCCCCTTCTTTTTATGCATCCTGTCAAAATTTTATAGCCTATTGACAAGAATCATATTGTTGATGTATCTGCTTTATTTCATCATTTACATGTTATTTATTAAGTTGAAACTTCTGAACAACTCACATTGAGCAGAGCAGTAGAATACATGAAAGCATAAAACACTAAAAGCAGTCAGAGTGAAAAAAAAATCAGCATCCTTGAAATATTAATGTCTATGTGTTAATCTGTAATGTTAAATACATTCTGTGACATGTAAAGCATGTGTGTCTCTTTCTGTCTAGACTTGTGATGTACATGGAGAGAGACCTGCGCAAAGCCACTCCCCTCAGAGAGAACCCCAGCCAGTCAGGATACCTGTCTCAGTGTCTGGACTTAGTGATCATGTATCTGAGTAGCACTGCACCACTGATTCTGGGTACAACAACAGCAAATTTATGATTTAAGATAATTTTTTTGCCAGATATGGTAAACAAAAAAAACCCCACCAAAATATCCATATCCATATAATATTTGTATGGTCAAGTAAAATAAATACTGTAATAGTTTTTTGTGCTTTTCTCTTTGTTTTACATTTTGACAGTATGTAAAAAGTTGTGATAATAAGGTACTTTGGTTCTTCTCTCATCCCTTCTCATCTCCTCGTGTCCTCTCCTCTCCCTTCCCCAGAGGAAGTCTTATGTGCATTACGAGGTGTGATCGGGAGGAGACACCCATCTACAGCTCAGAGCAGACAGCTTAAACACACTTTGCCTACAATGTCTGTACTACTTGAACTTCTTTCATCACAGGTAACGTGGACCAAAAGGAGTTTTCGTCATTGTTTGATTTTAAAGGTGCCATGTGGAATACCTGGCCACATGCTCCAAAAAAACCTCCTCCCACCCTCAATGTTATGGTACTGTTCAAGATTGTTTACAGTTAGACATGTAATAAACCTTGATATGTCCTCAGAAAGTGTATAACTTTCCAACCACACCTAATCTCAAAATAGTAATGCCAAGTGGTTACAATATGACTGTGGAATCATTTGTGTTAATTTGCATTAACTGCTATTACTATGAACCGCTGAACCCACTAACTACAACAGTATAAACCCAAAATAAACATTCATGAACTAAAATTCTGGCCATATCTTACACATTTATGCTTTAATTTTCTAGCATTATTGCCTGTATGGTCCACATAGATTTTCCTCATAAATTACCAGTACCCATCCTCATTGTTCAACACAGTATTGGCCATTCAACATCAAAAGATAAATTATCTAATTATCCATATTTTTGAACTGTCGTTGTGGGCCTGTAACAGGATATGTTATAATGTACTTAATTAAGGTTAGGGCCAGATACATACACCTAGTTATATAAGGTGCTGTGACACTACATTTTAGTTTGTGTATAAAGATCCAGCAAGATAAATAATGTTATACATACTTTTGCTCTTCACCTTCCCTTTTCCCCTTAGTTGTCCCATCACCCCTTCCTTGTTTGTCTGTGTGACTGACCCTCTCTCATCTTACAGGTTTTTAGGTCTCAAATTGTAACTGAAGAGTTTCTAGCTCAAATTGGATTGCTGCTGGTAAGTGTTTGGTAATACTGTATTACCAGCAGTCATAAGGACTCTTTATCTGTCTCTTCAGTAGAGCGATGGTTTTACAAACTGAAGGCAAAAAAAGAACACTGTTAAAACTAGGATGCTTTAACATTTTGAATTCCAATTCATGTGACAAGTTAAAATATATATTCATATTCCAACAAGTCTAGGCAATTAAGACATTTAGGATTACATAAAACACAGAACTGATATGCATGGTACACCATTAATATTTAGGTAGGAAGAAATCTGGGAACCACAACACAAAATGAAAACAACCCTCATTAATGACAGTACACGCTATGCTGATCGATTAGATGTAATTTTACTCTCTCTGTTTCTTACAGAACTATATCACCTCTATAGAGTCCAATGAAACAAATCTGGCCAGTGCTCTGGGTGAGTTACTGTCTCAATTGCGAAAATGGTTCAGATTGTGTTTTTCTTCTATACACTGTTGAATAAAAACTTCAAGTAATGAATGAAGTGTTATGTAGTTGGAACAGTGTCATATTTTTTAGCATATAAAGTTTGGCTGTGAAGGCTGCTCTCACAAGTAACCTTTGGATCATTAGGATTAAAAAATTGGATTTGGATTACAAAAATGTAAATATTAGTGTTAATATGTGAAAGTTAAGGAGGCAGATACATGCAGCCTCAGACAGGCAGATGTGGCATTTAAGATGCTTGTGCTCAAGGCAAGGTACAGAGTGCAGGGTCAACCACAGTGCACTGCATCTGGAGAAGCTGGAGGGGTTTAGTGCCTTGCCCAACGGCAATAATATCAACCATACTCCAGTTTCTAGCTCACAAATGGAATACACTCAGCCGTCAGTGCAGAGTTCAGCTACTGGTCAGTCTGTAGGTCATCCTCCACTTTTTTTTTTTTTTTTTGGCTTTTATTGCCTTTATTTGATAGGATAGCTGAAGACAGACAGGAAAGGGGGGCAGAGAGAGAGAAGGGATGACACGCAGCAAAGGGCCGCAGGTCTGATTCGAACCCTGGGCTGCTGCAGCAAGGACTCAGCCTCGGTACATGGGTCGCCAGCTCTACCCACTGAGCTAACAGGGCGCCCCCGTCCTCCACTTTTATTGAGGAGACGATTCAGTAGGGCTGAATGATATTTGATTCCCTGTTAGGTGCAACAGTGTGTGAGGAGTTGATTAGGACATCTCTGTCCATTGTGGAAGTCCTGAGTCAGCACCATGCTCTCACCGCTCCACATCATAGTGCTGTAAGTATGCATGCAAGCAAATATGCAACTGACTTCCTGTCTGACTCATTGTCTACCTGATACAGCACTGGCTACTTGTTTTTGTGTCTGTCTGTTTCGGTGTCTGACTGACTACCGGTCTGTTGTCTGTCTGTCTGTCTGTCTGTCTGTGTGTCTGTCTGTGTGTCTGTCTGCCTGCCTAACTGACTGACTGTCTTCTGAGAGTGTAGTAAAGAAATATAGGACAGGTATCTTGTGATATTCAACAAATGTCAGTGCATTACCTCTGACGGGACTGACAGCCTGTCATCATCCTGATATTCTGTTACTCTTCAGACTGTCAGATTTTTAACTTTTTACTGTTTACTCATTTAGAAAAGCACAAGTGATACATGTGTTTATTTGCTGTGATAGAAAGCTTGCAGAGAACAATTAAGGGCCATAAATTGTCAGATGTATGTTTAAGTGTCTCCATGAACATCTCATTTCATATAGTGCCCCCCGTATTTATATTTATTGTTTGTCTTCTTGTATACTAGACTTGTCTGTTAGTTGTTAGAGGACAGGGGGTCAACTTGTGCACTATTAGGCAAGACACTAATCAACTATTGAACCAACAGAACCTCATCAGATCTGTGTGTGTTTCTGTGTCAGTGTACGTTCGTGTATGTGCACGGGATGAGACGAGATTGTGTTTAATGACTATTGACATATGGAAGTGGAGAGCAGCAGGAAGCAGACAGGATAGAGGGGAAAAAAGAAAAGAGATGAGGAATTGAGGAAAGAAGCAAAGAGGAGGCTTGCTGCTACTGATAGTCAATAACACAGGAAGACACTTTAATTACCACCAGCCAGCTCAGATGAACTTTTATTCCCCACTGGACAAGGACACACAGTCATGTTTGAGTAGTTTACGTCTCTGTATCCTTATCACAAAGTAGAGTTTGCCGTGAGTTTTGCATCCACTATGGAAAAGGTTAAATTTGTTCTTTAGCCATCTGAAAGTTAAACATTTCACCTATGTAAGCATTACCTGTTCAACCAAGTAGTTATGGGGATTAATTCACTCCCAGTTGATTCAGTGTATCATTGAACTGCGATATGGAAAAACAGTTAAAACACTTCACAGGATACACAGACCTTTAAAATCTGAATTAATATCTGTAAACAAATACAAATTAAAATTCATGTCAGACACTAAGCAGGATGTTAAATCTAAATGTGCATTCAGCCACAATGGTTGTTTCATTGCTTTTTGGGTTATGTTTGGGTTGTATATTGAAATTCAGTGTTTCTTTTATTTTGCACTTTTTATTTGCAAAGAATAAACAAAACACATAGTAATTTCTCAAAAAAATACATACAACACCAGACACTGACTAACAATAAATTAGTTTCCTGAAAAAGCAAACTGGTGGTTGCACTTACATCACTATTAAACAATATCAAATTGAGTTAACAAAGAATGATTGATTATTAAAGTTGATTTCTCACTTGGTGGAATAGAGAAAACCACCAGCCTCTTTTTAACTGGGTCTACTGCAGTGACAATTCAGTCTTCTAGTAAGACAAAGATATATTGAGCATGTCATTATCCAGGAGCTGCATGCTGCATGCAACAATAGAATATTTGTTGTAGAATTAATGATATACAGTAGCTTCAGCACAGCAGGTATATTGGGGAAAAAAGCTGTTTTGTGCACTGCCTATGCCTAATCAACAATGTACACATGAGGTTTGTTTGTTTCTTTACTGAAGGAAACAGAAGTCGAAGACCAGCTTTTCCTTGTGATTTGCAAATAGTACAAGGAGGCCAAATAAATGCATATGCAACCCAAAACAGCTTAATATATATATTACTATTTTTTTTTTTATCGCTCTAAAGCAAAGTCAGGGAAATTGGTTAGTTACAATAGTGATGACAGGAAGAACTGTATTTTTGCACAGCTTGTCCAATAGGCTGCAGGGTAACTAGGTAAGAGGGCAAAAACTGAAAATGGGGACAAGAAAGGATTTCAGACAGTGAAGGGACATGTCACCCATAGTTCACAGTTCAGAGAAATTGTGCCAAGCCTTTCTCGCCACACAGGCGCTATCCAGTCTTTTGATGGTTGTGATATTAATACACACACCATTAAGTGGTGGACAACATCCTTTGTAGTTTCCTTTCTCTGGCTTTCAATGTAATGACCTCACACACACTCACTCAGCATTAGTGTTGTTTCTATGGTAATATTAGTAATCATGCAAATTCATGCAATACAGATTCATGCCTAAATAAGGGCTTTGACAGTAGTGGAAGTACATTTGTGTGTGTGTGTGTGATCAAAGAGAGCATTCAACAGTGCATTTCCATAGTAATTTGATCCTGTGTGACAGTGGTCTGTGTGGTTGATGCCCACTGAATTAATATACTACAGTGTCTTCTATTCACTTTAATGTAAAAATATATCCTGTTTTCAGATTTGCTGTATATTAAGTAGATTTTTAGAGAAAAGGCAGAAATTGCTTTTATTGATATATTTTTTCCCTCAAAGGAGAGAACATGGGACCAAATTGAACCACTGATAATATTTATACTGTTTATGTTCAACAGTGAGATTGAATATGAACTTTTACATAAAAGCACATTGGTAGTAGTTGTGCTGGTACATTTACTACAAGTTAATTTTCTACTGCCAGAGAATTTCAGCCTATTTTGACCTTAGTTGTTTCATGTCCATGGCACTGAAGAATTATACTAACTGTATATAACACCTGACTGTAAATGATTCTGCCATATTTTTGCTTTACTAGAGGACCAATACAGTGTAGTTGTTTATTTTTCTTGTCTATTTATGTCTCTTGAAGGTTGTGGATGCCATCCTGCCACCTCTGACAACACTGGCTTTCAGCAGAAATGGTAAGAAAGATGGTCATTTTTAAGAGAGGCAAGAGAGAACAAGACAGAGGAGATGTGGAAATACAAGCAAATGTCACAGTGAGAAGGAGAAGGAAGAAAAAAAGAACAGAGGAAATGGCAAATGGAAAAGAGTACAAGACAGGACTTTAGCCGGCGACCTTTGTTGCCTGTCACACACCCCCTTCTCTCCCCTTGTTTCCTGTCTGTTATCAAACACAAAAAAATGCAAAAGAAAATCTTAAAAAGAATGCTAGATACTGTACATACATCCATAGAAGTAGAGAGGCAGATAAATAGATAAGGAAAGGTGTGTAGAAAGGAGATGGCAAAGAAGAGGGGAGATTGTGAGCAAAAGAAGCAAACCTTGATGTTTAAGGTTGTAAAAGTCTCTGCATTAATGAGTCGCAGTATCCAGTGAGAAGCATCATTGTAATTATTGACTGCAGTATTTTGTTTTTTGTGGGTCCAAGCATGACAGAATAGGTGTATGTTTTGTGGAGCAAGTTTCTCGGGGTGAAATTAAATTCTTGTTTTGTGTGGGCCATGAATACTGTGCTTCCTTTTGACTTCTTATCACTATGTAGCTATTTTGCTCCAAAAGAGCTTGTAACCTTGAGACTGTTTTGTTTTTGACTTGTTTTTGTAAGTATGTATATATTTTAGTATCTACTGTATGGATTTGATCTACAACTGTATATTTTATTGATATGTAGTGTAATGTTACACTGTCTTATTTCTGTTATTTGTTTGGCATTTGGCATCAGTTTATTAGAATATGTACATTTTATATTATTTGTAAAAAGAAAATTATTAGAGTAAAATACCTTATTAACACATCATACTGGTCAAAACATGCCACTGAACATCAAGTCCAGTCAACTTTATTTATGTAAACCCAATATCATGATTCACAGTTTGCCTCAGCAGGCGTTACAATCTGTACAGCATATGACACCCACTGTCCTTAGAGCATCCATTTGGAAATGGAAAGAACAAAAAACAACAACCCCACACTATATACAAATTATGATGACAAGGTTACAGATACATAAAGATTTTAACACATATGTGGAGAGTATGGATCCAGGAGGTGTTACCAAATAGGTAGGAACTGAGCCACTTAACCTCCTTTCCAATATGGAGAACATCATCTTCCCTCAGTCTTGAGCTCCAGTGACATTCTCTCCGAGTTGAATCTAACATTTTTGGCTTGAAAGCTACTACTGACTACACTCACATACAGTATGTTAAACACTTATATTATCATTATATTAATACTCCTCCTCTTTCTGTGTGTTTGTGTGTTCCAGTGGAGTGCTCTGTGTTTGTTTTGAGGGTGCTGTCCGAACTCAGTCTTATCCTGCTAGTACAGGAGAGTGATGGAACGGAGGAAGATGAGGGTACAGAGAAAAAAAAAGGGAGGAGAGAGGAAGGAGGAAGAGCAGATGGAATAGATGATAGAAACTCTCATCAAATCTCAGCTCTCATCATTAAATCTCTGCTTCCAAGGTTGGTCTGACTCTTTCTAAGTGTCTCTGGTCTCCTCCTTTTTTTCTGTAGAAACAGGATTTTAACATAAATAAAAAAAGTTTATTATGATTCTAATTCTATTCCATATGCTCAATTTTATGCCAGTGGTATTGTTATTGAATTTTAAAACAATATTTCTTCTTCTTTGACAACAACGACAATGTTCCAAAAAGTCCAATATAGTCTTTGGACAGCACCCCACTCTTCTCGGTAAAATCTGTAGGTATACACAATATTTAAGCCAAAACAGCTGGAATACAGTGGTAAGACCCTGATTTCTTGAAATGAAAACAGGGATATCCAACCATCAGTTATATCATTTTAACAAATTTTGTTTGGGTTTCCAGTGGACTTTTCTCTTTCTAGAAACTAGTGTAATGTTTTATTGATCTCGTCTAAATGGAATAGTATTTTGTGAGTTGGACCCTGCTTCTTTGGGTCCAGGTCACATCCTCGTACTTGTCAGATACAGCTAACTGACAAGCATCTGTCTTTAGTGTTGGCATCAAATGATTGTAAAATATGTGGAGAGCAGGAGAGACAGACAAATTCAGTTTGCAGAAGTTCAAATCATGGAGTAACAAAAATACAAAATGGATGTTGACATTTATGGTGGGTTTTTCTCACTTTCCTTCACACCCTCTATGTGGATCTATACTTTCTCCTCCCATACCATTATTATTTTTATCTCCCATTTTAAAATGTTTTCCTCGCTTTTGGTTGCCTCATGTGTTACCCCTTGTTCACCTTTATTTCCACTACCATTTCTCCTCCTCGCACTTCCATCCCCCATCTTCCCCCTTTGCCTCTCAAATTCTCTCCTCTGCTCCTCTTCCCACATTTCTCTCCTTATCATAACTCTAGTTCTCCCCTCCCCCTCTTCTCCACCCCTCTCTCCAGATCTGTTCCAGTTTACACTCTGTTACTAATGATCAGAACAGTACATTAATTATTAACACTACGAAAGCCAAACGTTGTACTCATGCATGTTTATGTCTAGGTATGAGTCTCTTCTTCGAGCAACAGAACCTATCCCGCTCTACGCACTCAAACTGCTGGTATCGATGACTGAACACAGCACACAGATCTGCAGGTAGTGTACACACAGGCATCCAATCAGTCACACACTTCAATCATACAGAGACAACAAAACACTTATAAGGCATTGCATTACTAAATGCGACCTTACTGTACCTTACATTAAAAACCCCAGCATTATCAGCACAATACAGTACACTGAAGAGTACAGAAAATGTAGTTTTACTTGTGACTCTATTATTCTGGTTCTCTGTCCAAGATCAAGCTTTGGTATGATTGAAGTGTTTTGGAGTCCTAGCGGGAACACACAAATCCACACAGGCACATTTTAGGCGTTCTGTGTGCAATGTTTTAATGCCAAGGCCAGTCTTGCCCAGTTCAGCACTGTGAATCACTACTGTTTTTTTTATTCACAACCTTGCACACATACATACACACGTATAAATACACACACACACACACACACACACAGTTACTATTAGCAGTGATTGAGTTACTCATTACAGTACATACAGAAAAATATATCATTTATTTATTGATTTAGGTGATACACATTCAGAGCTAATAGCAACATCAGCACAGCTGCACCACTGCTGGTAATCTACATTCAACAAGACCTTTTTCACCCTTCTTAAAGACAGTGTTTTCTACACTAGTAATCAGTTTAGTGGCAGGCATAAGGTGCTGTATCAGCTAAGATGTGTAAAGTCTTGACATATTGTGCTGATATATCTTGGCACACTAGCAACTCCTGAAGATCTTTGTTAAAACGTGTACTGCACACTCTTCAAATATATATACGACACTAAGACAAAATTATTGCTGGCGCTAAAGTAATGCAGTGCATAATGTCAGAGTAATTCGCTATTCAGGAATTTAAAAACTTGTCTTGAGGAAGCAGTCCTCTGACACCAAAATAAAAAGAGGTAAGGATGTGTTTCCTGGTTTGGCTGCACACAGAATCTGCTGATCCCAAGGCTAACCATGAGATGACTCACCTGTGTACGTGTGTGTGTGTGTGTGTGTGTGTGTGTGTGTGTGTGTGTGTGTGTGTGTGTGTGTGTGTGTGTGTGTCTGTCTGTGTGTGCATGCGTGCACTCACTCGTGCATGCACTGATGCATGTGTGTTTGATAGATGTGTTCTGACAGCAGCTGTCAGTAGGTCTTGATTCTCTGGTCATCTGTCTTCTCTTTTCAGCTGTTGACATAGACAGAAATTGAGGGTGAAAAAAGAAGAGGCAGAGAGAGAGAGTATGGGAAAGGCAAGAAGTGGTAAAGGGTAGCATTGGGAAGAAGAGGAAATGTTCACAAAGTGTGGGGGACAAGGATAGATGGATAGATGAAGTGTTAATGGGTGAGGTAACATGACTTGAAATGCATCACCTCGTTGCTCTGAAGAGAAGATGAGTGAAAGCAGGTGATAAAATGATGCAGACTCCATTACGAGCAGTTGTTTGAGCTGTATATTAACCAAATTATGGAATCAGAAGTCTTCTTTAGCAAAACATAGTTGATAAAGTTAATAATAATACAAAATGTATATTCAAATTTTGTTGGCTATTTTAAAGACAACCTACCTTTTGGTCACTTAGTCTAATTATACAGTTATTACCAATATTTCTGGATCACAAAGTGGTCATAGACATGGAAATGTCCATGGCCAAATATTGTAGCTCATCCATAGCTCTATGTTCCATCTTTAATCGTTCAGTACTAAGTATTAATTTAAAGTAACCATGATTGTTAACCTTCTGTTTTGTCCTTCCCTCATTTATTTCCCTGCTTCCATCCATTTATTTTATCTACTTCAGCAATAATAACCTAACAAACCTCTTATCGCTAATATCCCACTCTCCTTCCATCTCCATCCCTCCCTCCCAGAGTTCAAAGTTCACTCTCATAACTGAATACGTCCCTACTTCTCTTATCAGTAATATTACCCCCTCTCGTCTCCATCTTCCTCTTCCTCCACCTCTCCTCATCCCCCTCTTTCCTTGACACAAGTAGAGTGACGTGAACTTTTCAAATTGGTGTCAGCACTCTTCTCTCTACATCTCTGTTTTTCGCTCAGTCTTTTCCTCTGACATTATTAACAGTATTTTAAATTTTTTTCTCTGTCTCCTTCGTTCTATTTTTCTCACCATCTCTAATTTATTAACATTAGTCCACATTTCCCTCTTTCTCTGTGCCCTCTCTCCACAACTCTCCCTCCATCACTGCGGTTATACAATCAGAAATTAAATTGCCTGGGTCTTGGTTAGATAAGTGTGGCTATGAAGCCAGCCGAGCGGTAATTAGATGGTAAATTGGGGACATTAACATTGGGAAGGCAGCCTGCTGTTTCTCTCTGCATTATCACAGCCCAGACACACCTTCAAACAACTACATTTACTATGACCTTTAGCCAAAGAACCTTGTGCTGTGTGGTTTCATATATGCGTGTGCCCATGTATGTTTCAATGTCCTCATATGTATATGTGTCTGGATGTGGCCTAGCCCTTACACACATGCCATGCTTATCAACCAGGTATCAGGTAGTATTTTCTCCTAGTTTAACTGGGTTGGCTATTGTGTGATTGTTTCTTTTATCGTTAGTTAATAGCTTGACATGGACTCAACCTTTGCATCATCAAATTGCTAGTCATTTGGACACCTAAGTCTCTCTAAGCCAAAGAAAAGTGGAATCATTAGGTGTTAACACCAAGGTGGTCGTTTTCACATGCTAAAAGTCTGTAATTGCTTGTAACAGCCTGTTTTACTGGGCTGCTCTGTGGTGTGAATAAATGCATGAAAAGTATTTAAAAAAATATTCTTTAGATAGTACAAAAATTCATTAAGGTGTGTCATTTATAAATAATTGGACCATCCTCTATGGAATAACTTTCCAGTGTGGTATTGTGATATACAGTACATATTTGACTCAATGTTAAGATATGACATCCTAACTTTATTGTTGGTGGTTATTATCTTTTCACTTCAAATAACAAGAGCCACGATGCCCTTTCAAAATCCTCCAAGATTAAGCTTTAGAGCTGACAGTCGAATTTTGTGACCAGTAGAGCGGAGGTTAATCTAGTTTATTGGTTGTTCATTTATAATGTGATTTTTCTATAGTTTTTATATTCTCTATTATAAAGCTAATACTGATGATGTATGACTAATGCAGTAAGGGTTGTCTCATCTGTGTTTGTCCTGTTACAGGCGGCCTTTTGTGCTCTGGTTTGTTCGGCGTCTGGTGTTGTGCACTGTGTCTATTGATGTATGGCTGGTAGTTTTAAGGTGGTCCAGTTTATCATGTCGTGCTGGCCTGGCCTGTCCTCTCATCTCTCAGCCTGTCACCTACCTAATGGGAGGCCATCCATCACATCTACAAACACAACACTCACACACACACATTTACCCCTTCATAAAAGACCTAACTTAGGGTACAGAGCTAAATATAAAGTACATCACTGATCTGGATTCATTCATCTTGGCAAGTAAAAACGAGCTACTACAGAGATATAATCCCCAACTCTGTTTTCCACAGACAGTGACAGTATAGACAATGGAGATGGATAATGTTTAAAGGTCTAGTATGTAACATTTAAGAGGCACTATTGGCAAAAATGGAATATGATATTTATAGACATGTTTTTAATAGGTTATAATCAACTCCTATGTTTCTGTTACCTTAGAATGATATTTATTTATATGTACAGATGCATCCATCTCCATTACATGGAGTCTGCCATGTTGAACTGTCATGTTTCTACAGTAGCCCAGAATTGATAAACCAAACACTGGCTGTATATAGGGACATTCGCGTTTTTTTTTCGTGTTACGTGGCCACCATAGCATTTCCTTCACGCTTGGAAGGAGAGGGTGATGTGAGGGAGTTGCAATCTGCGACTACACAGCTAGATGCCACTAAATACTACACGCTGAAACATATTTTTTCAATTTAAATTAGAGTTAGATCAGTGGTGTAGACTCATACAGTTTGCAGAAATTGGTTAGATGTAAGTTCTAATACTGAAGCAGGTTGGTTGCATGAAAATGTTAGGTCCATGCTCCCCTGAATCCTCAAACTACTGCTTGGTTCAATTAATGGCAGTGTATTTTGCAGATGCTTATGGTTTTGCTCTGAAGTGTAATGGTGTGTGGAATATTTGCTCAGCACACATTAAGATAGAATTGAGCTTGTATTGATTTCTGCATACAAATGTGCATAAATACAGCAATCAGTTAAACAAAGGGAAAAGACTAAATATAGTTCAGCACATATATAGAGCATGAAGTAGGCAATTGGCCAGTAAAATAAAACTATCTAAGGAGTGAAAAGGGAATGTAAAAGGTTATGAGGATTTGTTAACATCCTTTGATGGCTATTTGTTACTCTTTTTTGCTGACCAGATGTATTTCTACTGGTACATCTTAACAACTTTGATTAGATACAACACAACTTCCCAGTTGATATACCAAGAAAATCAAAGGAACTATAGGTCAGTCCCTGTTTAGATGGAGCACAGTGTTCGCTGCTGAAAAGTCTAAAATTATACAGACACTGTTGAATCAGCTTGTTTAAATTTCCATAAGTGGTTTGATGCCTGCCAGACAAGCTATAAATCATAGGTAAAATGAAGACAGATTTCCAAATCAGTGGACAGGCTTTGTCTTCAGCATATTAACACCAGACTTCAGCTGGCTTTGTTCCTATCACAGCCTGAATGCTTGCTTATGCACATAAACACACACACACACACACACACACACACACACACACACACACACACACACACACACACACACACGCACACACACACACACACACACACACAGACTCTCATACACCCACAAGGTGTATATGTAGGTGTTGACACACAAAGTAATTGGTTGCAAATGAAAGAACCTTGATCAGTAAGTAGGCAGAATGTCATTACCTATGTAGACATCCATCTCTCTCTCCTTCTCTTTTCTGTTCTGCCTCTCTGCATTTCTTCAACATTTTCAGTTTGGATTTATCACTCTTTTTTTCAGTTCTTCCATCCATTTGTTGCTTTCTCCTATTTGCCAAATGTAATCTTCTATCACCTCATTTTCTTCTTAACTCCGATCTCCTCTTCCTCTGTCCTCCTCTCACCTCTCTGACTTCATCTGCTCTCATCGCGTCTCCTCTTTTCGTCTCTCTTCTTTCCCCAATTCCACTGGTACCAGACAGGAGTCGTTGTAGCGGAACTCCAACCTTAATAAAGATGAAACAGCCCTGTGTGTGTGTGTGTGTGTGTGTGTGTGTGTGTGTGTGTGTGTGTGTGTGTGTGTGTGTGTGTGTGTGTGTGTGTGTGTGTGTGTGTGTGTGTGTGTGTGTGTGTGTGTGTGAACAGTTGAATTGCCTCTACTTTAAATTAATTTCTCCCCTCGTCTTTCTACCTCTGCTCCAATATGTGTTTTTCTGTTTCCTTTTTAGTTTGATCAAACACAGTCGGATCTTACCAACGGTCTTTCAACTCATTATGGTAAGAAACCACCCTCAATCATTTTTTATGCAGCCAATTAGCAAATCACCTGGTCATTCAGTCAGTCAATGAATCAGTCAGTCTGTTAAATAGCCTTACAATTGGCTAATAAGACCAAGTTATCACAGTCTGTATTATTCTATGGCATTTCCGCTGTATTTTATTACAGCTCAGTTTTACTCTGTCTCCCTCCTCTTTCCTCTCTCACTTGCTCTATCTAACCCTCATAGATGTGTTTATGTAAATTAGTCTGAGTGGTGTTGACCTATTACACGACTGGTGTAATTGACTGGCAGGTCAGCCATAGAGAGGAGGAAGGGTTAATAGAGTGAGAATATGGACTCCACTATTAAGATCCCACACAAACGCATGCACACAAACACATAGCACTTGTCTGTTATCAGCGAAGCATAACAACGCTTCCAGTAAACAATTTATTTCACCTGACCCTTTTTCCATACGCACAATCTAATGAACACACAAACACATTGAGTACACTCTGTTTTTAGCAAACCAAAACATTTGCACTGCAGCAAACACTTTATGATTTATGCACACACACACACACACACACACACACACACACACACACACACACACACTCTCACACATACTCACTAAATAATCAGCGTTCTGCATGGCTGCCTGTCCAGCCCCGACTAGCTGATGCAGAATGTTAAACACTGTTATCCAACAGCCTGATTAACTCTCCTCCTGATTGTTTACTCCTGTCTGAACCAGTCATGTCAGGATCCATTAGTGCCGTCTGTAATGCTCACATTTGGATTGATTTATGCTGCCTAAAACACTGTGATCTGGATTGATTACACCTGTCATTGTGGATCACACGTTTCATGGAGAAACTCACCTAATTGTATTTGTCTAGATGATGAAGTAGTTCTGTTTCAAACATGAAAGGACCTCAGGAAACTGGCTGGACCGTGGTTCTTTAACTGGTTGCTTGCTGTGCTCGAGGAGGCAGACGACTGAACAGAATGGTTTGCAGTTAAATACTTTTAGCAATCCCACCATTCTTATATTGTACATTCTGTAGTTAACACCACTAAAACATATTGAAAACTCTGAGTTAAGGTGCGGGCCAGTTAGTCACTAACTTAAAATTCATTTTAGTTTGCCATTCCTCATTGCTCTTTGTCAGGTTTATGCTTTCAGTGATGTACAAGATAGTCCATTCACGCCTTATTAGTCTATAAAGATCAAAATAAATTAGCTTTGTCATTTGTTGTTACTGATGGGCAGGTTGTCCTAGGTGCAAATTGATGTCATTGTCTTCAGCCCCAGGCTACTGCACATGATGAGCATCAGGCTGGCTTATCAGCCAGTACACAGATCACACTGACACACAAAGACCCTGCAGGCAGGCTGGTGTATCTCAGAGAGGATCAAATAGTGAATTGAGGGCAGGCGAGAGAAGGAGAAGTGAATTACTGTCACAGGAAGGAGAGAAGGTTTTGTAAGGAGGGGATGGAGAAGAAGAAGAGAGTAAAGGGAGGAAAGGCAAAAGAGGAAAAGGGGAGAGGTTGAGGAGGAAGAGGAGAAACAGAAAAGTGGAGAGACTGCATCGTTGCTCCTCGTTTCTCTTCAAAACCAATCCATTAACACAGGTCACAACTACACCATCCTTTTAACAGACAGAATGAATTAAACTCTGTGCCCCAGTAACAATTTTCATGGTAGGGAGAACATATCATATCATATCATATCTAATTCTTGCATGTGAATAAATATAATAAGTATTTGGCAATGTTGCTGTGCTTCTGACAATAGAAATCTCATGAACACCTATCAACTGACCTGTAATAACAACAAAAAACATTTATAATTTCTTGATTTTAGGTAACAACATTGACAGTCCATAATATGCTCACTGATATCCAGTAGTACATGCCATAATTCGTACAGAGTTCGGTCTAGACCTACTCTATTTGAAAAGTGTCCTGAGATAAATTCTGTTATGAATTGGCGCTATACAAATAAAATTTAATTGAATTGAATAATTCAATTCATAATAATGTGCCAATAAACTGGAGACCTACTGAACTGATAAACCAGTGATTTTTCAGGACAAAATATACATTTTGTATGACAAAATGATGAGGATTAATCAGTGAATATATTCCTTTCTCTTGCTTGTTGGTTTCTGTGTTGTGTGGTTATTGTTGACTCTGTGTGCCATTTGGGATACCCTGCCAACAGTTCCAAAGATGTGCACTTAATGGCAGGCTTTGGGAAAAACTGATGTCAAAGAAGGTTGCATGCCCCTGGGACAATTTCACAGTATGGCTGACTTTTAAACACCATGTCCGGCTCTTTTAGTACATTTATGGTGCAAGCCTCTAGGGGCAGAACTGGACGAAGGCCTAAAACCTAACTGTATAGGCTCACATAAGATATACCGTATTTAAGCAACTTACTGTGGTTAAGTAATAGTTCTATAAAGAGATAAACATGGAGGTTGATATTTTGGAATTAAAGCTTACAACTTTGGTGTTTGGTTCGTGTGCAAGTACGTAGGTTTTTAATATGTTCTGTGTGCTGGAAGGTTTTGTTCAAAGGTTGATTTTGGTCAAGTCAGAAAGGACACACACACATGTTGGTATTACTATCCTTGTGAGGAATTTGAATTGACTTACATTCTCTCGCTGGAGCTGTAGGTCTAACCTTAACTATACAGTACACGACAGACGGTAACACGGGTGATTAACAATGATTCCCTCATGCACTCTTCTTCTCTGATTAATTGATGTAGCCATGGCTGTGTAGTATAAAGGTGGGGTTTGTTGTGTTGTGAGAATGTGAGTGTGTGATGAAAGTCTATGACAGAAATGTTATACTAGAACTGTTAGAAAATATGACATTTAGTTTGATGTTAGGTAGTAGATGCAACATAATATTGCATAGACTTCAGACTACTTATGGAATACACTGTTAGACTGTAGCTGGCCTGTAACCTAGTTGTCCTATCTCTTCCTCTCACTTTCTGTAGACTAACAGTAGTAATGTCACCAGTGGGATGATCCAGAATGCAGTCGCCTTGCTGTGTAATCTTAGTGGAGACACAGTGTTGGACCTGGAGCCACCATACCAACAAGGTACAGAATGTCTGCATGCAGCCTGTGTGGAGAGAGTGAAAATTTAACTTTTCTCTGCTTTGGAAAAAAAAGCATTTCTTGTTTTGTACTTTTGCTTACACTAGTTCTATTATTAGTGAGTGAGTTAAGTGAGTCCTAGAGGCCCATCTGTCATTGACACATTATGTTGGTATCATGTATCTACTCTGCTAGCATTAGTTTTTGTCATGTTACTTGTTGGCATCTTGTTTTCCCCAGCCTTCTGTCCTGCTACAGTATAATTCTTATTTAGGTCAACAACCTTGGCTGTGCATGTGTGTGCATGAGGCAGGGGCAATGATTTTGTCCTTCAGCCTTTGTGGAACTCAATGATATTAGAATTTCTTGACGATTGCAAGTGATTCCAGTGGATCCAGAGGGGAGAGTGTGTCTCAGAGTGAGGACATTTTTCAGAACTTAGGTCATTTTAAGCCTATTTTAGCACACATGAGCCACTTTGGGATTAGGACTTTAATTAGAAGGAAGGAATAGTAAGGCACAAAGCTCATGCACATATGGATGCAGTCTAAATCTAGCATTAGCGAACAAACTAAATAAATTAAAGATTTTTGCAGGAAAACATCTACAAACACTGCTGCCTGTGTGTGTGTGTGTGTGTGTGTGTGTGTGTGTGTGTGTGTGTGTGTGTGTGTGTGTGTGTGTGTGTGTGTGTGTATATTTTTCTAAACACACCACTCCCCCCATTTAATAATATTAAAAAAAAAATGCACAAAACTTTTAAATTTCTATTTAGGACCATGTTCATTTCCCTCTCTATTTCTGTCTCTCACTCATCATTGTTTGTCTCATTCTGTCTACCCAGCCCCTGCCTCCCAAAAACCACCACCACTATCACCCCTTCCTCTCCCTCTGTTTCCATTGGGTCAGCAGTGCAGCAGTTCAGTAGTCAGCATCATTATCGTCCAATCAGCTCTCCTCTAAACAAGAAACTGTCAACCCAGCACTAATACTGGCTGGGCAATTAACGCTTCCTCTCCTATCCTATCCTATCCTATCCTATCCTATCCTATCCTATACTATCCTATCTTGTCCTCTCCTCTCTTCTTACTCTGTTGCCCTTGTTCTCACCCTCTTGTCCCTCCTTTTCCTTTTCTACTACCATCCACTTTCCAATCTACTCAGCTTCATCATCTCCACTCCTTCCTTCTTGTTCCCATTTTTACCTTCTAACCTATCCTCTATTTTGGGCTCCACTTTAATCCTCCCCTCTCCTCTTTCTCCCTTCTTTTAGTTGTGGTTCACTCCAGATCAGTGTGGCGATGGCAAGAAAGAAGGGAGAGGGAGAGGAGGAGAGAAGAGGAGAAGGGAGGAAGCGTGTATAATTGGCTTTTTAAGGTGTGACAGAGAGAGGAGGAGAAGGGTGGTGTGTGAGCGTGTGTGTGTGTGTGTGTGTGTGTGTGTTGGGAGGCAATGAAATAGACAGTGAAGAAGAGCAAAATAGGGAGGTGGTTTTTTGTGCTTGTGTGAGTGTATTTGTGCCTATGCTTCTGTGTATGTGTGAGACTGAGCGGAGATGTGTATATGTGTGTGTAGAGGGGAGCGTTGGATGCAGGAGCACCCAGTATGTTTGTGTGTGAGTTTGTAAGAGAGAGAGAGAGGAGATGAGGTTTATAATTGGGCAGATTTGCCTCCGACTGAGATAATACCCCCTGGGGAATGAAGACAGAGGGAGCAAAGAGAGAGAGATAGGGAGGGAGAACAGAACAACAGAAAGAAAAAGAAGATGGCAAAAAAGCATGAGGGAGAAGAGAGGGAAAAGATGATAGAGCCAGGAAAGCAAAATGGGAGGTAAAAAGGGTAGCAGAGAGGTGACAGAGAGGCAGAGTGGGATATACAGAGAGAGAGAATGTGGTGCATTTGGGTGAGGATACAGGGAGGAGGGAGGAGATAATAGAGGAGAAAATATGAGGTTGAAGTGTGTGACAGTTTGATAGAGGGAGAGATCGAGAGAGGCTGGAGGGGGAGAATAACTTGATGGGGGAGTAAGAGACGCTTCCTAAACAAAGTTCTTATTATTTTATGATTGTGCATGACTGAGTTTTAATGTAGGACATGTAGCAGACTCATGTAGAAAGTCTAGGTAGTAATATGATTATATAAGGAAATGAAGCCTGAATTTGAGACTCATTTTGTAGGCTCATTGACAAGCAGACTGATTTGATATGAAACGGACACATCTAGAGCATGTAGAGCAGCAAAAATTCACCCCAACACTTCAGAAGTATTCGCATACTAAGCAAACCCTGAGTTTGTTAGTAGGCTGCAGTGCTGACGATTGACAAGGTGTTAATTAAAGCATGCTTGTCCTTTAATTAATTAAAGAAGTCTTCAGGGGCTCCATGTGTCTTCAGAATCCTTGTAGGTCTTTGAGGTTCCTCTCCAGGTTTGATCCACCATCAATCCTTGTTATTTTTCTTGACCTTCTGTGAGAAGCGTAGAGGATTTTTTTAGGTAATTGCCTCTGTGCCAGGGTTATCTAGTTTCTGTGGAACTTGCATCTATAAATTGCTATTTGAAATTAGGGTCAGGTTTGGATTAATTTCCCCAAAAGGTGTCTACAGAATTCTATAATGGGTCTTCCAAACCGTAACCATATGTGTCCAATCAATATGAATGCCCCCTAGCATTCTTTTATACCACAAACATCTGTCTTCCATATTAATAACTTCATATTAGCAAGCACCCAAAGGGTCACTGGATTGACAATTTTACATAATGGCAATCAATAAGACAAAATGTAGGATGTTTTGCAGTGTGTCTTGAGTTTATGCTGTGCATAGAATGATACCTGTGCAGTTTGCATAGCAGTCCCTTGATATACTAGTGGTCGACTAAAATGGGCTTTTCGATGGTGATGCCAATATTTAGAAAACGGGCTGACTGATGGCCGATATATAATCCTGATATCAAAACAAAGAAAAGTCCTGTATATTTCTAGATTATTTTTAAGGTATTTTAAATACCTAAATTTGCACATCCCAGTGTGAATAAGCAATCATCAGATATTTACATTTTTAAATATGTGGCAATGTGGTGCCCGGATAGTTCACCTGGTACAGCTGGCACCCCATGAACCAAGGCTGGGTCCTTGCTGCAATGGCCATGGGTTCGACCTGTGGCCCTTTGCATGTCATCCCCCCTCTCTCCCCCTTCACGTCACTCTTCCGCTGTCACTATCAATTAAAGGCAATAAAAGCCACCAAAAATTGTGGCAATCTGGAATACAGGAATATTGAGTGCACTACAGAGGCTACTTCTATCAGCCATTGGGTTGCATACTGTCTAGACAACATATACTGAATAAAATATGGTTTCTATTAATTTTATGATGTAAATTAATAAAAGGGCTAACACAAAAACAGTTGCAGGCTGTATCTGCCCCAGGACCTGCCAGTTAAAGGCCTGGGCCTGTAGGATCACATCAATATAGAGCTTAAAACCATTTGCATTTAGGTGTTAAACACATTAATTGATTTGACTATGCCATGCTTCACTCTATCCTTGAAAAAGACTAATCCAGATGCTGTATACATTATTGGGGGAAATCACATTATTGAGAACATGTACGCCTTTAATTGAGCTTTGTTTAAATGAACTGAAACATTCATTTATTAATTAATTAATTATTAATTATTGTGTTAATCATGTATTATTAGTTTAGTAGAGGTTTTTCTGTCCCTAGAAAACATTCCTACTTTGCTTATATAGCAGTGCTCTGAGTCATCCATCCTGTTGATTCCCAATAGAACTCATTTTACAGTGCTTTATAAATAGATAATACTGCAAAGCATTGTGGAATGTCTATTTTTAACCTAGTTAAAGTCCAAAATAGGACAGAGCACAGTGGTTTTCACTCATAAATGATTCCTCCGGTCCTGACATATTTGACATTGTTAAAATTGACTTGTTAGCATTGACTGAATGAAGTTGCTATTCCTCTGATTACACTAAGGTATGTCCTCAACTCACAAGTAAACACACATGTACGCAGGGTGCAAACTATAGGGGACCTTGCCTCCTCTTAATAAGACATGAGTTAGAATACTGACATTATCAGGATTGTTGCGGCCAAATGTTTTTAGGCATTTTTTGTAATGAAGTTTCAGGAGAAAGTGAAATAATGAATATTGAAGGCAACTTGTTCCACTGAGACATGGTTTGGTTGAATTTGCGTTAATTGTTGTGATCGCAAGTTCCTGGAGGGGCTGTAATATGCTATTTTGGCCATGCATTTCTATTTTTGGATTATGTGTAAACTTAATACTGCCGTATAATTGTGTACAAGGGTGACTCATCACTAATATGCTTTAAAAAGGATACTGCTATTCTTGCACTAAAAGTGAGCTCCCCTGAAAGCCATGGTATCGTTTGTACACTGCACACACATACACACATACATCCATACCTTTCAATCACAGTGATACTCATTATTATTACTATTAACACACATGCACAGAGCTCATATTGGGTGCTCTGCCATGGCAGTACCTGCAAAAGCCTGTTTGTGTGTGTACAACCATTCAATTAGCAATTTCTGATGTATATTTGACTTAATACCAGAAAGGAACCAAACCAAGATAAGACGGCAGTATCTGAAGTAGCTTTATGACATTCTTGTTGAGACAAATTCAGTGTCTGTTGTAATCTATAATAAATCTCCAGTGGCAATAATTGTGGGTCCCAGATCCCCCAATTGCTCACAGAGTAGAGCGTGTACCATGTTTCAAGACTGAGTCCCTACCGCAGCGGCCCGGGTTCGAGTCTGGCCTGAGGCCATTTGCTGCATATCATCCCCTCTTTCTCCCCTGCCAGTTCTATCTCTCTCTCTGCTGTCCTGTCAATAAAGGCAAAAAAAAAATGGCAAAAACACATAAAAAACATAAATAGATGTGGGTCCCTGTTTTCCCATGTATTCATGATGACCAGAGCAATAGTTGTATCCTGTGTGCAATGAACCTAAGCGCATATTCAACTGCATTTGCTATTTTTGTTCAGGTCGATGCATAAAAGGGTCATTATGTCAGTTGCTAACATTACTCATTTATTATTTTGCATGGAACTTTGTGAACTGTTTGTACTCTGTGCATTCCCGCTGTGTCTCTGTCTCCCACACTCCTGATGCACAGCTTAATTTGGGAAGCTTTGTAGAATGTGGAATTAAAAGCAACTAGTCTTTTAAGTTTGCTTGACTATTTTGCAGAAACTTGTTGCTTGTTCATGATTTAATCAAGGGTACCCACAGAGGGTCAAGCAAGCAGAAATGTTTTGTTCATTGGAAGTGTGCAAATGTTTCATTTGGAGACTGCAGTTGGAAAATGTTTATCTGTCCTATGGCTTTCAGATGACTAGGTATTCAATCATCTATCATTCTACAATGCAGTACAGACTCTGCTGTGCTGGCATTATTGCCATAGTCATATTCCTTTTGTAGTTAATGATCCAAATGTCTCTTCTGGTTCATTCATATTGATGAGAACATTCAGTCAAATGATTGACATTCATCAACAACAGGTCTGGTCCTTGGTTGTCAAATCTACTTATTTTCTTCTGTATCACTAATCTCCCTCACGTAGTGTGTTTACAGAGACTCACCAAGTGTATAGTAATTCTATCCACTAAAACAATACATGATTTGTGTCTTTGGTCTGTGATCAGGCATGTTTTGTTTGGGTGGAACAGCTGGTCTAATCTAAATGCACTGACGCCATGAGAAAATCAAAACATTTTTAATGCCGACAAGTGGTTTGAAGGGTTGAGAGTACTGCCAGTGTGTGACTAAGAACTGAAAACAATGGATGCATTTGGAAATAATGTTGGATGTGCTTCAAATTCCCTTTCCAATTTCCAACTTTCCACTACATCCATAGCCCTGTTGCAACCCTCCCCTTCCACGAGAACTTTTCTTTGTCTTTGTAACCCATTTCAAATGCGTAGTGTGACCTTTGCAGATTAATTGCAGATATTTTTGTGCTGTATAGTCATCCTAGTCAAATCAGGAGCAGACTCCTAAAAGGGAATTTTATATTCTAATAGTCCATATGATCACCTGTTACAGACATACTCTGCTTATGTATATCCCCAACATGAGAATATTGCTTAAAATGTTGGGGTACACAATCAAAGAGTAATTTATTTATTTTTAATGATGCTGCTCTAAAACCTGGTTGACAGGTGGCTAAAATATCAGTAAAGTTAGAAGAATTTATTTGATCAAAGTTTATTTTCTCTCTTTGGTTTAGTAAAGATGACTATGTATAGTCATGGCAGCTATTCTAAACAAATGATAACATAATAATATTATTAACATATCCATAAGCAACTATCTAGAACAGTTTTCATCTGAACGGGACTGCATTGTCGGATCACATTAACAGCAGAAGAGGTCTTTGTTTGACTGAACAGTCCAAAGTAGAGCAGTCTGTTTAATTATGAGGTAGCTTGACAAAGTAACAGCACATCTCACTGACAGCAGGCTAGCTTAATAGCTTTCTAGTGTCTACAGTGTTGCACTTTAACTCACAAAAATAAACACACACACGCACATCTACATTCTAAATAAAGATCTATTGGAATAGAAAATAACACTGGTTATATTTTCCCCAGTGAACACAGATTTATTTAAATCATTTGTTATTTGTTACTTTTTTGTGTACAGAAAAGAAAATGAAGTACAACTTTGGCATGTGTCATGTCAACCTAGTCAGGGCAAAATCTATCTGGTCTTCACTTACAGAGACGTGTGGTGAGAATACCTCAGGGACTGAAGTCTACAATAGCTAACTACACAGATCGAGCTGCAAAATGGAGAGTATCTTCTGTGCTATGTTAAATTTAATGAGCAAAGGAACATGGTTTTGCACTTTAGTAAGAGCTATTTATTCATGGCTTAGCAAGGGTTAGCAGCTCTACAACATGTTCTACATTGGACAGTTTTCTAGGGAGAGATAGAGTGAGATGGCAGGGAAGACAAAGAGATACGAGGAGAAGAACGGAATGTATTTTTAGATGAGCATCTAAATTGAGTTGCCTTTTGTTGTTGCTGTTTGTGTTACCATTCTGTGGTTTTTGGTGTGTTGATACTATCAGATTTTCACAGATTAATTCAGCCCGCAGAGCCTCGAGTTCTGTTTAAATAGTTAAATGTCAAATTCAGCTATTTTTCTCTGCTGGGCAAATTGGTGACAATGAAATGCAAATCGACCTAAGAGGGAGAGTGTGTGTCATCTTGTGCAGGAGCTATTGATCCACTGTGGAGTCAAACCAGAGCCTGCAGCTACAGACATTTACTCAAGTCAGGCTTAGGTATACTGTTATTCTTTATGCTTCCAACATTCATGTAAGAGAAAGAGGAGGTGTGATGGTTGTTTGGAATGTGGAAGTAGGTTGGTTTGATTGTTTACAATCTATGATGTGAGGTCATATAAACTGATGAATGAGCTTGTGAGCAATCTGATATTTTTCTACATTTGATATGTCACAATGACAATAGAGAGACAGGCAGCTCAAGAGCTTCATCTTGTCATTCATGATGTCAACGCTGTCACCACAGTGTAACATTTTTGGTAGCAAGAAGTCATTGTCTCAGAACATCTAGTAACTTTATCCAATGATTTTCTTTCTTCTGCACAGACCTAATAGAGGTGGTGGTGAGCACTCTCTCAGAAGCTGCACTAGTCCACTTGGATGAGGAGGGGCATGCTGGGAAGAAGGTCAGCCATCTTGTGTTACAAGCCCTTCTGGAACTGCTTCACAACATCCTAAAACAAACATCTGTTGTGGTCCGCTCTGCACTGCAGGTATGAACACTCAAACACAGCTAATGAGAACAACAAAGTCACTGCCCTGTCTCTAACAACGGCCACCAAGCTGCCAAGTTGTATTAGCACTGCATTTCAAAGTATGCCCTACCCGAGTGACAGAGATTATGGTCGGTCACTTGCAGTTGCTAGTACAGTCTCTGTTGTATTTGGTGCTGAAAGAAAAAAGGAAACAAACTGACGCTCTTTAAGTAATTCAACAAACTAAGTCTCCTAACCTCTTTTTCTCACATTCTAGCATTTCATGAATGAGAACCCATTGATGCTGCACATAAATGACCATTCATTGTTATAATTAGAAGTTCATGTGGATGTGATCTCAGCTTTGTGGCTCTCTGCTTAACTACCTCAAAATGTATCTGTAGAGCAAAGAGTCTCTACAGATACAAGAGTCCTAACCAATATCCATACTAACATTTAACTTCAATTTTATTAAACTTCTAAACACCACTGCATTGCTGCAGTCTTTACAAAGAAATCTGTAAACAGCCACAATGGCTTGTCTTGTATTTTTCTTTTTTTTTTTCAAATGTATTGTTTTGCTGTATCATGATACATTTGGACCTTATAGGCTGGTGTATTTCCCACATTGATTCACCACTATTTACCAGTTTCATCTCTGTTGAGCACAGAATCACAAAGTCAACTCCCTCAAAATGTTGCCCTTGTATCATGTCCCTTAAGGCATGTGTGTACGTGTGTGTTTGTGAGTTGTGTGTGTGTCCATTGATGTGTGCAGTGGAAGCTAGCAGTTTTAAGCAACTGCAATATTGAAGTTGTGGACTCAGGAGAAAGGGGATGAGGTCCCGAGTCCATGGGACACATACACATACACAGACATGCACACACACGCACACTTGTACTCATAGGCATACACAGAGGGGCCTGTCTGGCTATGTCCCTGCGGCCTCATTATCACCACTGGCTTTGTCCTCAGCTTGCCTTCGTACACACACACACCCACATACGCTCACATATAGACGTACACACCAGCCCCCATCTCCCCATAGTGTGCACCCCAGCCCAACGCATACATATTAATGCCTGGACAGGGGAGGGGGGCTGGGAGGACTAAAGGGGAGGCAGGGTAAAAGACTGGGTGGAAGAGAGAAGGACAGAAGAGGAAGAGGAAGGATGGAGAGATAGAAGGAGAGACAGAGATGGGAAAGGGAGCAAGCAGAATGTGCAACGGAAATCAATTCTGTGAGAAATGCAAAGCTCATTAAAAAGAAAACTTCTGCCCAAACCAAATTCATTTGGGTAATAAGGTCTGATAAGGAGAGAGGACGTGACTAGACCGCTCTCCCCAAACTCTTACTCTGTTGGTCAAAAGAGAGAGAGTCAGAGATTATATATACTACAGAAGAAAAAAGAGAAGGAGAGAGAGCATAACAGAGAAGAAGCGACTTTGGGAAAGAGAGAGAGAGAGAAAATATGTGCCAGTATTAATCACATTATTTCACCTCTAATTGGCCTGAAGTTCCACTGTAGGCATGAACTGAACTAAAATAAGCCAAAGTGAGGAACAGAGGTGCTAATGAGAGAGGGGGGGGAGAAGAGGGTGAGAAGACTGAAGTCTTAATGAGATGCAAAAATGACTCGATGTGACAAATAGAGAAAATTGTTCAACCTGTGTTGCCCTGAACACATATTGTGCTAAAGAAGGGTTAGAATAACACAACGTATGCAGAAAACTTATTTCCTCTCTTAGTCTATCTATCTTTCTCTGTCTGCCTCAGTCTGTCAGAATCTGTCTTGGCAGGTCTCTGGATCCATCATTATTGACTGTCAAATCTCTATAAATGATTTAACGTGTGTGTGTGTGTGTGTGTGTGTGTGTGTGTGTGTGTGTGTGTGTGCGTGTGCGTGTGCATGCGTGTGTGTGTGTGTGTGTGTGTGTGTATAGAGCCAGAGGCTATCTTGTCCAGCAGTGGAGATGGAGGCAGCAGAGAAGCTGCTCCTAGAAAACCGACCCCTGAGCCAACTCAGCACACACCTCATTCACATGGTGAGAACAACACTCACAGAGCTTGTGTGTGTGTAAATGCTTTGCATGCATACATAAATATTTTCTGTTTGCTTTTGCATGCATGTTTTTGTACTGTATGTCTAAATGTTTGTCTGATACATTGAGACAACCTGTGTATGTATGTTTATTTATGCAAGGAAGTGTGTGTGTGCGTGTGGGGGATAGAACATGCTTATTTTTCTGGTTATGTGTTCCTTCTACACATAAGTAATACTTGTATTAGTTAGCAGGCTGAGTGATACAAATAAATACAAGTACTACTCATACAAGAAATAGATCTCTAGTTCAGATTGAATGTGACTCCTTATGCAGCCTTTTTCACCAGTTGCTAATGCCCAGCACAGTCCCTTCCACTGTGCATCTGAGTGTGTGTCACCTTAAAGATTTTATGAGCTTTATCATTTCACTGTTGATCCCACAAATTAGTTTGATTTGTTTACAACAAGCTAGTTTGATCTCCACTTCAGTTCTGTTTTCTACGTAACTCACATAACGTCTAAATTAACTTTACATGTAAAGGTAAAACTGTGGTTTCATAAGGGAGTAAAGCTAATTCTGTAAAACTATATTAATTTTCACTAACACTGAATGAATCTATTAAGACCAGTAACTAGATCTACAGCTTCCTCTCCGACAAAATATGTAATTTCTTAAACCTCCTCCCATGTCTGACCGCACTGTAAACAGCAACACTACTCATCAAGCTCGTTTAAAAGTTTTTCCTTAATTAGCTGTCTTCCCAAGAAGTGTGTGTATATCTGTTATGGTAATGAAGTTTATCAAGCAATCTTGAAATGCACTTTCATGCTCAGACTTTGTGCCCATTGTCAAATTCCTTCAACTACCAGTTATTACAAATATTAATCCCATAAATCTGCAGAAAAGGCTCTTATATCTGCAAGAGCCAGCTTAGAATGTGATGCAATCTGAAAAATAGGAAGATAAGAGTGGGTGCTATCTTTGCTTTTCTGCTGAGAGAAATGTGGAAGTGTTATTGTGGTAGCCATTCATACATCCACACCTTCTGGCATTATACACACTACTGAGAATAGAATAATCACTGAAAATCAGATATGTGATGCAAAATAACCCCCTCCTCTATCTGCGCTCAAAATCTCAGAATTATGATTAAAGTACTTTAATGTTAGACTTATAATCAAATTGGATTGCTTGAAGAATGGTGGTCTTTGTCTCTTGCCTTCTGGAACTTTGTTTACATTAAGCTACATTAAGAAATTAAACATCATTTGTAAGTATTTCTAAACAAGAAGGTGACTTAGATTAATAGGTCAGGAGTTCAACGGAAGAAGGTGGTGGGTTCAAAAGAATGAAACAGGTGAGGGGATGAAGTGAGATTCATGGGTAAGGGGAAAGGAAAGATGGAGAGAATCCATTCAAAAGAGAGAGGGTGCCGTGAGGCATCCTGGGAAGTTGAGGGTGTAAAGAGAGGAAGGGGGTGTGGGAGGAGGAGAAGTGGAGGTCTCAAGAGACACAGTAGACGTTTTTACTTCTGCTTGACACATTGAGTGTTGGGTGGGCGTCTGTGTGTGTGGTTGTGTATGAAAGGGTAGAGGGGGCAGCTGACACACCCCCGGCCTCTGTGCAGCCCCTTTGACCCCCCCCCTTTGCCCCATGGGAGATTAGTGGGATAGAGAGAGCAGCAGCGTCAATATGATCCCTGAATCTAATATTTCTGAAGAGAGTGTGGGCTAATCATTGATGCATGCTCAAGTATTATGATTTACTCAGTGCATTAAGTTAATTAATTTGGCAAGGGTCCGTAACCAGAAGCAGCCTCGCTAGGATCCACACGGTTTAGAGGGAACATTGATCCTGGATGCTTTCATGTAACTTCTTTTTTTCAATATATAGTTTTTCCGGCTTTAAGGGATAGGACAGCTGAAGTTAGATGGGAAAGGGGGAGAGAGAGGGGATGACATGCAGCAAAGGGCCACAGGCTGGAATCTAATCCAGACTGCTGTGGTCAGGACTCAACCTTAGTACATGGGGCGCACGCTCTACCAGGTGAGCAGCCCCATGTAACGTTTTTTTAAATAGTTTTATATTTACTTGATATGGCTTTCAAATGAATTGATATATCCAAGTACAGTAAATAATTTCTGGAAGTGTTTGTTTGAACGCTGCAAAATACTTTTTTTTTTAATGTAAAATGGCTTTAATTATTCATCTTGAATGTGTGCTTTAATAAGGTAACCTGTGTGTACACCTATAAGAAGAACAATTCAGTCATTCACTTTATTTTTTCTCACATGAGCCATAGCAACCACAGTAACGAAAATATAAACATGGTGCATGAAGTTATTTCATCTTTCCATTTATCATTTATTTTCTCTCCTTGTAGCTGTCGACTGAAAACCAGGAGGTCTGGGAGGAGTGTATTCAGTGTCTGTCTCTACTGGTCCAGCTGTTTGGAGGAGAGGGTTATGACTGCCTGTCACCTTCTTGTCTGCAAAGCTTTTCACACACGCTGCGCACACACATGCACACCGAGACCCCCCGAATCCAACGCACAACACTTAGGATCATCAAACGACTGGTGAGTACAGTGCACATTTAGGCACGCAGACAATCACAGAGTCACAGACAGACAAACAACATCTATGCACAGACATCAACTTTGCTTGTGTAACATTTTATCAGACACTTGTGTGTCTCTCTTCAGGTGCCGGTATTGTTCATATTGCAGCACTTAAACATTCTTGAATACCTCTGTATTATTCAAGAATCAAGGCCCTGTGTTTGTTTGTATTTTGGGGGTTGAAATATTAACTGCCACCACTGCAGGATGAAAATATTGGAATAATAGAAACAGACTCAGTGCAGACACACACACACTCAGAGAGACAGCCCTGCTGTGCTGCTGTTCTGAAAATAGAGTGTAGTTTCACCAGAACTAGACTGACAGAGCGAGCAAACCAGAGAGGGAGAAAAAGTGTTGGTTTGTATCTGCCTGTCACTCTCTGTTCGAATGTCTGTCCAATTTTGTCTGAGAGTCAAAATGATTTGTAGTACAGGCCAAAGATGGCCTGACTCTTAAAAAAAGCACACTGCAGTGAAGCAGGTGAAGATTTAGTGGGCTTCTATCCCCCAAACGTACTAAATAACATAAGCTCCATGTGGTTACAATCACTAGAATTGGGTTTTAACAAGGCGACAGATAGAAACACCTTACAATAAAACAACGCTGCAGCAATTGACTACTTTAGGTAGAGATTCCTTCACAACTCAACTCAACTTAAAAAGCCAATGTGTAAGTTAATTAAACTCATACCACATCAGACAAAGTCAGCTTTGAAGCTGTATTTGGTATACATTCTGCAGCCTAGCTTTCCCAGGAAATAATTCTGCAATGTAATACATTGTATTCCCAGTGCTCAAACTGCATGAAGTGATATGTTGTTTATGTAGTATGGGATGTGGAAGTAAATGACAGCATTTAATCATTAAACAAGGAGTTTTGGTTACCTGAACTAACCATACTTAAATTGTTTTGGTAAAGATACTTTAGAAATACATTATTTAAAAATGTTGGATGTTTTAAAAAGGTAGTCATTGAATTGAACTCAGGGCTTTGCAGAATTGTCCAATATTAATTTGAATAGCTAGATAAAAGAGAGACAGGGTTGGTGAAGTCCAGTGAAAATACAGTTTGAAAAATAGGATTTTTCTGTAGACCCCTATGAATTATGTAAAATGCATTCCTAATGTTGGCTTGGCCGTAGGGTCATGAAATAGTTTCTGCATGTGGGACACAAGGTCAGCTGTCACCCTGAGATCATATGATCTGACTGAAGGCTGTGCCTGTAAGCTACCTTACATTTGTAGTTGTGTGTGTGTGTGTGTGTGTGTGTGTGTGTGTGTGTGACAGAATTGGCATGTGTGTATTTTTGATTTTTCTAACTAATTAGATCCAGCCACCTGAACCACCCACACGCGAACTCTGTCACATACAAGCTCACAGACTTACCTCTTTTTCTTTTCTGTCTGTCTGTTGTGGCAAATTTGTCCCCTTGTGCAAACTCCCTCATTACCCCCTGCGCTAACAGCTACAGTAACACAGAGGTGTATATTTTCTATCCTGCTCACCACCCTGAAAAATACACACAAAACTGTGTTTCAGCCATTTCCTGGTAGCTAGTGGATGAGTCACTAAGCAGCTCAGTTCTAGGAGCAGCACTAATTTATTTGCTCAAAAACATACCCATCTACCATTCTGCACATTTAGTCATTTGCCTCATTGCACATAGCTAATTTAAAAGATTTAAATGTTAAAGTTCCCTCAGAGTACTGTTGCAATACTCTTCCCCCACCTTGTACTTTTTTCCATTGAAGTTTAGTAGCTAAAGTTTTAAATAACAACTGAAATCAACAGTTTTTTTGAATCTCGTTATCAATCAGAGAAAAATGTGCACCTTTGAAACAATGCAACAGACATTCATTATCCACAACACACACTTCCTCACAGAAACACAATAACTCGCACATTCTCTCTCAAACACACACCTACACACCCAGACAAGTGCCTGCCCTTCAACAATGACTTTTTAATTATCTTTCATTGATTTCAGGGCTCTGTTAATCTCAATCAAAGATCCCGCTAATAGCTTGGAAACTGCAAAGGAGGAGAGAGGGAGAATGAATCAAGTCTGAATTAGTGAAATTTTCAATGTTTCTTTTTTTTTCAACACACCCAACTTGGAAAGACTTAAAGGGGGATGCTAATTAAATGAAAAGGGATTCATAAGAAGTTTTTTCAGGCAGTTTGATTTGTACGACATTTTTTAAAACTTGGTAGCCTCCCTCTGGCAACATAGAATTTATTGTGTTCAGTGATTGGACCCTTAATATGTATGCACAACTCATGTCTTTCTCAAGCCCCTTTCACACATAGTAACCCATTCAACTGTAATGTTAACTTGTCCAGCAGAAATTACGTTTATTAATATGATTATGTTTATGTAAATTGTGTTCACACACAAACCTAGATCTGTGAGGCAAGGCAGGGTGTTTAGATGATTGTTGTCGATGCTGTTCTGTGTGTCTCCTTACACTGCTCGTTAATCCAACCCTTGTGTCTAGAATGTTCCTCCTCTCTCATCTCCGGAGGCAGAAATATCGCCGAGTTTCCAAAATGTCAAAGCATATTATGTCCAATTATTGTAACCTTTCACATGTTTGAGCCGGATACGTGGACATTTATTTATCCTTTATCCATCATCCATCCATCAGTCGCCCGGTTGCAGTGCTCAGTCAGCCTGGGGCAAGCTGAATGAGTGTGTCCGAAGGACTGACCATAAGGGTCACACACAGGAAAAAAAAAAATTATGCAAAGTCTCTATAGGTGGCACGAATTGAACTGAAGTTTTAAATTTCATAAAGACAATGTCCCCATGTCTCTCAAAGAATTACATGTAGAATAGTGTGTTTAGGCCCAGCGGTGGTGGAAGAAGTACTCAGATCATTTACTTCAGTATTTACTTAATTAGTAATACCACAGTGTAGAAATACTCTTATTAGAAGTAAAAGTCCTGTATTCAAAATCTTACCAAGCAAAAAAAAAAAAAAAATGGCATCAAAATATACTGAACCTAAAGTAAAATGAATCAATATGCTGAGTGGCCCATGTCAGAATAATATAGGTTGTATTATTGTTATAGTTATTAATGAATTAATATGTTCATCGTCGCAGTTGGTGAAGGTGGGGCTAATTTTATTTAATGAAATTATTTTATATGCTGCTAGGTAACTGGTAAATCCCAACCATATGTGGAGTCTTATTTTACTTAATATAATATAATAAATCTATTAATATCATATATAATAAAGCATCATTTATTTGTTGATCATATTTTGTATTGTTAATTCGTAAAATAAATGTAGCAGAGTAAAAAATGTCTACAAGTGTACAAATGTTCTTACCTTCCACCACTGGTGTCTAGTGCACAAAAACTTTAAACACACATACATCTTTATATATATATGTGTGTTATTCTGCTAAATTTACTACTCTGCACTTGTCTGTTGGTACATTGTTACTTGGTTGAAGTTAATATCTATCATCACAGCCCTGCGCTGTCTTTGTCTGAATTTGTCTGTCTGTCCTATACTGTCTATGTGCCTCTCATCTGACTTTGAGTCCAGTATTATAGAGTCAGGGTGTTGGTCAGGTAGAGATGGGGAGAGGGAAGGGTGAAGGGGGAGGAGAGGGTGAAGACGTGGTGGAGAGCAGGGATGGAAAAGGGATGATAAGAAGGTGTGTGTTTAGTGGTTGGTTGGCAGGCACACATCACCTCACCCTGATGTGGAAGGCAAAGTGTGTGTGTGTGTGTGTGTGTGTGTGTGTGTGTGTGTGTGTGTGTGTGTGTGTGTGTGTGTGTGTGTGTGTGAAAAGTAAGCGAGTGAGGGGAGCGTCTTTGTCTCCTTCTAACCCCGTTGCCTAGCAACAACCATGCTGTGTCGCCGCAGAGACAGAGGTGATGATGTCACTGGAGATCAGAGAGAACACGTTCACCAAACAGGCGTACACACATCCACTCAGTCACACATGCACGCACACACACATAAATATTCACTAACACACACACACACACACACACACACACACACACCTTGAACAGCACTTAAAGAGACACAGGCAAACACAGTTTTTAGTATTTATTAGAGTACATTTGTTCCAACAATAAACAAATTATAAATCAGATCTTAACTCAGAACCTAACTTGGCTGTCAGTTTAAACACTAACACTAAATGCCCTCTTTTTAAAGTGAGAACCATCCTTAACACACACACACACACACACACACACAGAGCAGTCTGTGGACCAGGTGTTCCTGGGTGGGTGTGAAGCGAAGACATCATGGTGTAGGGAGACATGTCAGGACAGGAATAAAAACAAATGATGATTTGGGATGACAAAGAGAAGAAACACGTGATGAGGAAATACATTGAAGGTAGAGAGAGGAAAACTCTTTAGTTGACAGTCTAATGGACAGTGTGTGTAAGTCCAGCTGTAGAATCATAGAATAAATCCATGGAGGAGCAGTAAGGAGGGCAAGAATCAAAATGACTGACAATGTGTGGGAAAGCACTAATGTAACACACAGGGTATGTATGTGTGTGTATGTGTGCACTCAAGTGGATTTTTGGCAAATTAGCTCTTTAATCAATTTACTTTGAAATGACATTGACAAATGAGTGTGATGTCACTCAGCAGTTGGTCGTGGTAACTTGAAAAATGATTCTGTGATAATAACACAGACCAGTGCTTCTTATAATGTAGTAGTCTGTGGGATGGTTTTGAGTGGCGCTGTGAAAAAATAACAAAGAATGTGAAAATGATATTTCTAATGTTGTAATGTACGTATGTTTCATCACTGCTTTCTTATTATTGGTGAATGGTGATCAGTGCTTATAGCTGCTTCTCTTCCTCCTTTGATTAATCAGTCAAAAAGCCTGAAAAAGAGGACAGGGACAAAATACATGCATACACATACTTGCATGATGGTATTTCTCCGTTGAGACAACAGTGATAAACCCCACTGTTAGACAGTTCTATGATCATATATCAGTACTGACTAAAGGGCTTTTAAACATGACATCATACAAAGTCATGCTGCACTAATCTGCCACACTGAGGTGTAGGGTGTTTGGGCTTGTTGTGAGTGTAATTTATTGACCTTCAGTAGGATGACTAATGGTAGCCTGTAGGGGATTGGTGAGGAATATTGACTTTTTGGCTCTTATATTCAACCAATATCACTTTACAAGGCTGACTGGATAAACAATCCGTTTTAAACAAAAAGGAAAAAAATTGAAGTGTTGTTTTGGTGTCTTGCAGGTTTAACTTTTGTTCCACTTTGACTGTGTACATCTGCACAGTTGGCCCGCAGAAACAGTGATGCATTGTGTTTGAAAATAGAGGTCATTATTCAGTGTGTCATCTCCCTGTTTTTCACTGCCAGACTACAAAGTGCAGCGATGCTCTCATACACTGCTCGGTGTCATTTATTACCTGTGTCAGACCTATGTCATCACATCCTTTGTCGAGTGTGGGCCGCTGCCTTTTAACTGAATATAACGTGACCGTACCTTTACTCTTGTCTTGCTCACTTTGTTCTTCCTTTCTGCGTCTTTCTTCAGGTGCAGACCACAGAGCAATCTGATTGGTTAGAGTGTCCTGAAGGGGCAGAGCTAATGTGTCTACTGCAGGATATAACTACGTCCAACAGGTGTGTGATTCTGCATTTAAATGTGTGTGTGTGTATGTGTGTGTGTGTGTGTGTGTGTGTGTGTGTGTGTGTGTGTGTGTGTGTGTGTGTCAAATAAATCAATGTATTGGGGCATATTCCTTCCATTATTCCATTTTGATGTAACAGACACTTTGCACAGATCACAGATTGACTAAATAATCAAACAACTGCGGCAAACAAGATATTTGGCTGTATATAAAGTGCTCATTTCTGTCTGTCAGTGTTGAAACAATATCTCAGAGGTTACCAATAACAAATCATTGTGGATTTAGATGTGCCTCCTCCAGCCTTTTCATTCATCTTATTAGTGTTACGCATGTCTTAACATGTCTGTGCATTGCACGTCGGAATGGATCTTTTTAGTTTTCTAGTGTTAACTGAGAGGATGTGAGCTCACACAGGGCTGAGTCATATTAAAAACAAAACTTCAACTTTGTTTGGGAGTCTCTTGAGATCTGATACTAATGGCAGGAAGCATGACCTGCACCACCCTCACACACCTGACAAAGTAACAGCTTTCTTCTTAAGATTTTTAAGTTTGGGAACGGCAAGGTTTGTATGGATCAACACAATCTCAACCACTAGAAATATACAGGGAACACTACTTCAACTGGGATTCTCTGTTTAATGACTCACTGCAAGTAATGCTCACTTTTAACTACACAGCAAGTAACATGAGCTGAAAAATGGAAAAGCTTCAAAAAACAATGTTTAAAAATCTATATATATTTCTACATATATTTCAAAATCCAATGCCAAAGCAAAATCAGTCATAGAGCTGGAAGAGATTTTACTCCCTGAGTTGTTAACTCTGCGTCTATTTATATATATAGTGTGTGTGTGTGTGTGTGTGTGTGTGTGTGTGTGTGTGTGTGTGTGTTTGTTTGTTCGTGTTCATGTGTACACCTGTATCTTTGCATCTGGCTGCCTTTTATGAGTATGTGGGCCGAATGTGTGTTCCCTCTTTGAGCCAAGGGTTTTGTCACCGTAGCGACCATGCTTCCTTTGATCTCTTGATGTATGAAACCAGCGACCTGTCACACACAAACAGAGACACACACACACACACACACACACACACAATGAATACACACAAATAGTCGCTTTCCCCCTCTTCTATGTACAAACTCTGTCTCTCAATCACACACACACCCTGTCAGATCGATAATAAAGGTGTATTGTTGTCCTGCTATAGAGACCTCTCCCACTCTCCCCTCCCTCTCCCCCTCCTTTCTCCTCGGTCACCCCTTTTCTTCTCTTTTTGTTACCCTCTATACCCATTTCTCCTCCTCTCTCCCCCATTTTCTTTCCTTTTCCCTCATTTTCTTTCTTTTTCACCTCTTTCTCTCTCGTTCTCTTGTGCTTTCCCTTTTCCACTTCTCCTCTCCTCTCCCCTCATCTCCTCTCTCTCTCCTCTCCCTCTCTGCCAGATGAAAGCAGAGATCAGCTCTAGCCTTTGAAGTGGCTGAGACTGGCACACTCCCACTGGTTTAGCGGTAGGAGGAGGGGAGCAGAGGTTTTAGGAGAAAGGGCAGGAGATGAAAGGAGTTATGAGGAGAGAGAAGAGGAGAGGAAGGGAGGGGAGGAGGGGGGGCTTTAATTGAGAGGATGAGAGGAGTTGGGGCAGAGAGAGGAGATGGAGGAAGAGTGGGAAAGAGAGGGGAGGTCTGGGCTGAGATCCTAACCCAAATGATGTCATTCAGCTTTTACCATGGCAACCTGAGGAATGCCTTTTCAAAACCTCAAGCCCGACCGAGAGTAGAAGGAGGGGAGGAGCGTCACTCATAGTCCTCCATCCTGAAGAAAAGCCTTGAGGCCCAAAACCTGATCCTTCGTTTATTGCTGCGTTCAGTCAAACATGAAGCCATCAGTAGTGCAGCCCACTCAGTCAACTACACAACTTCTGCAAAAACTCAACCCTCTCAAACTTTGGATTCAGGATTTTACCAAAAACACCAACGTTAATACCCGAAAACTATCAAACTGAAAGTCACCTGGTGCTGCCTAACAACAGCACAGCACTGTGACGGTCTGTGGATTGTTAAACATTTCCCCCATTGTTAAGGTCAGTCATTCCCAACAGAGGTACTTGTACCCCAGGGAGTACTTCTGCAGTCACCAGGGGTATGTGGGAAGATTGTGGGGTCGCTCGACTAACTAATTCTACTCTAAATAGTAGGAACACAAATGTAAATAAAAGAAAAAAGACCAAATATAACAATACCAGGATCACCATGTCTCATTTGAAGAATCATCAAGTTATATACTTAGTCTACATAGTCTTAAATAAAATCCATTCACAACAACACATCAGACAGAAAAAGGTTGGGAACCACTGGTTTAGGGAATAGGTCACTTTTGCTAGAGGTACATTTTATTAGCGCTTTATATTTGATCACTCAAACAAAAACACTTTGATGTTGTCTTACTGTATTTCTCTTCATTGTAGTGCAGACAAACATGTCAGTCAGTCACAACCGAGGGCAGATTTCAAAGCTGTCTTGTGCAAACTGTCCAGGTATTGAGGACCAAGTTGTAAAGAGATGGAGATTAATCCACTGGGAATCAGTGGAATGAACTAGTCTAACTGTACTGTACTGAGTCTTCCTGTGAAGAATCTATTTTGATGAAAAAAACCGAGTGAGGAATCTGTTTTTCCACTAAGTTCTGCTGTCAGTTCTTTGGCTCCATCTCAAACGGTTGAGAATGTACATTTCATCCAGAAGCCCTCCAAGTGTTGGTGTAAGCCGAGTGTGAGGCTAATTTGGATTGTGTAATAGCCATTCACTGTAATCTAAAACTAATTATTTCATTTTCCACTTTCCTCCGTGCAGCTGAGTGTCAATTTGGCACTGTGAAAGTTAGTCCTAAAACTTTTATGAATCTAATTTATGTTCTCCAAAATCACAAACTTTCAAGGATTTCTTAGGCCTCTGGGAGCTCTGTTAATTAGGTTAATTACGTAGGTTTTAATCAACTAAGGGGGTGGGCTTCTGCTGGCCTGGCTGTCAGGCTGCCCTCAAAGACACCTGGGAGGAAGGGAAGAGGGGAGGGGAGGGTGGAGGGAGATAAGAGAGGGTGGGAGAGAGAGGAGAGGTAGATTACAGACAGCCTGTAGGGTTGGAGTACATTGGATGTGTTCTCCAACACAGCGTTTTAAATGCAGGCCTGTGTGTGTGTGTGTGTGTGTGTGTGTGTGTGTGTGTGTGTGTGTGTGTGTGTGTGTGTGTGTGTGTGTTGTGTGTTGTGTGTTGTGTGTTTCGCTTGTCATGCAACAGAGATCCTTAGCAGGAATCGAAGCGTGGACGTTGTGGTTCTGCCCCGTAACCATTAAGCAATCAGGACGCCCCATCATTTGCAGCTTTATTAAGGAAAATGTTTAAAATTCCTCCTGACACTGGGCAATCAACGACTGTGATACAGTGAATAACTTCTCTTGTCTCTGTCCTAGGTGCCATGCCGATGTAGTTCCACTGGCTGCTGAAATCCTCCAGGAGATCTCTGGCTCCTAAAAGCTTTTCATCTTCAACGCTGAAGCACACCAGCACCATTGTTTTTCAGAACTTTTCTTAAGATTGGTAGCCTGCTTTTTAGACCGTCTGTCTTCAGGTAAACTTTTGAATAAAGGATAGAGGATTGTTCTTTCAAAATATTGTCAGTTTTGGAATAAAACGTCTTATTTATCTGTTAAGTCTCATGGTTCATTATTAGAAATTGGATGTTTAGTAAACATCCTTGTATGTGAATATAATATGTATGTATGGCTGTTGGGGGAACCAGTATTTAACAGCTGCTGAGACATGAGTGTATCTTGCTGTGTGGTATCAGAGCTCTCAGTCAGTGCAGCCCTCTACATGACTCTCATCACATTTGCAAATTGGATCAATGACAGTAATAAATATTGCTGTGTCACTAAAATAATTTGACAGCTCGATCAAAACATCCATCCAGTGTCCATCAGACAGCAGAGGATTACAGCATGAAAGTTAATTCAGGCTGTCACAGTGCTGGCCTCTGGGTTTGTCTAGACACTTCCAGTCCGCATTAATGGTGGAACATTAGCTCATTAGATCACGAGTCTGCCATCATATGTGTCTGTAATGTGACAAACTCATTTCTAATTCGCCTGATGGCGAGTGTAGCTATGAGAAACCTACTGCTCAACTACTGCCAGCTTTTCTCTTCCTTAATACCATCACACACTGAAATGTGTCTCTTTATCAGGACTTATGATGCCACACAAATGAAGATGTTCTGCGAGCAGGGACCAGTGCCATGAGCACAGTTTAAGACTGAGGTAAATCTCTACCACTGGCTGTTGCACGGAAATCACAAACTGTGTGTCATTAAGTAAGTTAGGTCTTAGCACGTGTATTTAAGTCTTTGTGCTGATCCCAGGTATATCTGGTATCTCCCATTAGATTCCCAGCTATACAAATTAGACACTGTCACATAAAATACTGTAATATACCATTACAGGGGCGTCTGCATGGAAACAGGTGTTGCTAGTATGTTGCTAAGAGGCTGGATGAGGTTGGAGAGTGAGGCAAGACGTGGGTCTTGTTGGGAAGGTTGCGATTAGTCCTGGGAAATGCCCTGTAACCCCCCGCAGCCTCCTCCATCCAACAACATGTCCTCTGAAAAAAACAAAACAAAATCCTGGACATGGTCACCACTTGCAGGCTTTTAGTTCTTCACTCCAGGTTCTCATTTTATATGCTAATCTTACTAATCTCACTAAAGCTGCAGTAAACACAGCTGGCACTGATCAGTTGTGTAATATCATCCACCAAGTTATACTAACTGCAGTTTGACACATTCGTGAGGAAGAGGAGTGAACTGAACTGGCATCCTGCCAAACTGCACAGCCTCTGCAGGAGGATGTGGACTTTCACAGTTGGTGGAGAGTCAGTTTCCCCTCACCTCGCTACCTAGCTGTCATTTGATGTGTGAAACCGTGTCACACCTGTGTTGTCGTCATGAAGCGTTTTGAGAAACTTTCCTTTATCACTTGTCCATTGTTATCAGGCTGACTGGTTACTAATAAGACTACAACTAAATACTACATATGTGTGTAATTCCTCTGACCTGATCTTAATTATACATGCAACCAATGTGTCGCCATTGTAACCATAATAGAATTCCTACCATATCCCATAGTTCTTGTTTATTTACCACAGAAAGTGCAACTTGTGTCCTCCTGGATTGAAGGTGTTGGTGAAATGAGACTTTGAGGCATCCAGGTGAAATGACAGTCCATTTTATTGTTTCAGAACACAGCAGGCTACAGCAACCAGCTCCTCCCACTACCCCACCCCCTTAGTAACAGCAGACCAATAAGAGCCCTCCTCCACCCCTGTCCTTCCATAGCCACACCCATCCAGCTAGGTCAGCTACACCCCCTTTGGAACAGCAGAGACACATCAGTGTCCACCTTTAAAGCAAGAAAATAGCTTGATATTTGGACCATGATTTCCAATTCATGTTTTTTTTTATACAAAAGCTACACAATGTTACACTTGATCATCAGAATACAATTCAACTGATTAACTTTAGTGTTTGGACACCATTTAAAATGTGATCAGATTCTTTACTTTGATGGAGCATTACCACTAAAAAACTCAACACTACCAGAGACTTAAAATACAAGGGACTGCAAAAACAAGAGATGAGTATCATAATTCAGAATAATGAAAAAGCAAGCTAGAATCAGTTTGTACCATTACAGACTTGAGGAAAACAGAATAAAAAAGTAAAACAACCAAAAGTAAAAATGAAAATGAAAATACATAAAAAGGGTTTTTCAAAAATCAATTGTTGAGATCAAAATCCATGTGTCATGTCAGGATTTAAAGTCAGCCCTCCGTCAGGCTGAGAGACCAGAACAGAACCGCACTTAAATCTATTTTGTCCCAATGGAGTTCCCATAGACAGGAAACTCTGCTTGCTGTTGTTGAGTCGTCTTCAGGCACTTTCTGAAACCCCGCCTCCTCCATATGGGCGAATCACGATGCAGGTTCATCCAGATCACATGATACAGCTGCAGAGGGAGCAGAGAGGGGAAAAGCGGGAGGTGAGGGGAAGGAGACAGGACACAGGCGTTGGTTAAGACCACACACACAGATCAAACACCATGCAACATCACACACACCACATCACACAACTTCGTAAGTAGGAGCAGTCTGAACATGCAGCAGCCACAGTGAGTAAATTTCTCCCCCAGCTTCTACTTTTACAGCTTGAGCAAAATGGAGAAGAAAAAAAAAAAACATTTATTTCAGCTAACACAAGGTTACTGAGAGCAAAGATATTCTTACCTAGTAAAAAGTGTAGTGTAATGTTGGTCTTGGTATTTACAGGTCGGTATCAAACCAGGCCAGTTGGTTGGAGTCACCAGGTGGCAGGCCCTCGATCAGTTCCTGGGCGTGTCCCAGGTCAGGCAGCCCCTCTACTGGGGGGTAGTCCTGGCCAGGGTGGTGGCCGCCCAGATCATGGTCCATCATGGGCTCCATACCCATCGAGTCCCCTCCATAACCCCCCGAATGGAAGGAACGGTAGCTTGGGTCTGGGGGAGGAAGGAGTGGATGGAGGAGAGGCAGGGAAGCAGAGCAGTTGTTAGAAGCATGTTAACAAACCAAGCGGTCACACAGTAGTATGATCATTCAAACTGAACACTACACAGCAACACAGCAACACAGCACACCGTCCATCCTCCAGCATCAGTGAACTAAAACTACAGCGGTTCAGGTCTTTGGAGGAATGGAAACAAACAGCCAACCCTCGCCCCTTAGCCTATTGATCAGTACTCAGTCCTAGGTCCACCCTTAACATTTAGATGGCGACTGTGACAATGACTAAAAGCAGCCGTATTGTATTTCTTAGGTGCCCGCTGTGTTATCCTGACTGACAGCAGGGGTAAAATCAATCTCCACCCTCAACTTCAGAGCATTATTGCCCTTTACCAATGTCGCCAGCTGCCTGTGTATCGTGAATTTGGACAGCCAATCCTGTCATGAGCAGTAGACGGATTGTGACAAAATTTGGTTGTGTATGGACCTAAGGGGAACAGAGGAGGTCCATGGAGAAGATCATGACTGCATGCCCAATTAGTGAAAGAATAATCAGTTAAATGTTTGTATTCAGCCTAACTGCTCTGGTATTCTAAACCCCTCCTGTATTTCTCTTGGGAGCCTCTCAGCCAGCTAGAGGTGAGACGGTGGCTTACCTTCCTGTCTGTAGCCCAGAGGCTCTCCCTGAGCTCCAATGTCCAAACCCAGGTCTCCGGTCTGCAGAGAAACACACAGATGAGGATGAGCAAGGTGGCGGCAGTTTCAGTGACCACAGTATGCGGGCCTTTATTTACGTTTATCTTGGAATTGAGTGTTTAGTGTACAAATATACAGATTATAAATAACAAAGCTGATGTTGAGTGCTTCATACCTCGTTCCAGGCCATTGGTTCTGTCCTGAAGAGTGAGCTGGTGAGTTCTACAGAGAGACGTTTCTTGTAGTCTTGGGGTTTGTCCTCTGACATACGGAACAAGACTGCTGCAGCGTAGGTGGCTGAGGGAAGACAGGGGGTTGGTCAGAAAATTATTTACTACAAATAAAGCAATGCTACAGCTTTCACAGAGAGGAGTCAATTAGGAGGCCAGGTATTTCCATGATTACAGTCACAATATTAATGGGCTTCACTGTGCATCAATTAAATCCATAAAAAATGTGTTTTATAAATCAAGCACTTTTTTCTCAGTTGAACTGGTTCTCTAAACAAGAGCCATTATTTGAATGATGGCAGTACGTAAATGAGAGAACGTACCAACTCCTTCGTTGCGGCTGTGCAATAGTTCTGTAAGTGGGGCGGTGGCTCCCTCAGCCTCAATAGCCTCAGCAGCCTCTTTATCCTGGGCCAGCTCACACAGGACGCCTGCTGCTACACGCTGGATGTTCTCAATAGGAGAATACAACAGCTGCACAAACAAACACAGATGGGATGCTTAGAAACATTTTCTCAACCTTCACAGTACTCCTACATAATCTGAAGAGATGCAGCAGGCACAGATTCATGGAGAGCAAACACACACGAGGTGGTACAATAAATGTAACAGAGCATCCTGGAAGGAGCAAGGCAGGGACTGTTCTCTTGTTTTCCAAACTATTTACTTAAATGATGTGTGGATTGCAACATAATAAAGCACAAGTACAGGGTGAAACTGAGCTCAAGAATGTTTTTATGTTTTTACCTGTACAAACAGTGGAATGGTGTTGAGTCCTCTGATGACTATTCTGTTGTGGACGTCTCTGGCCAGGATGTGAAGTGCTCCTGTGCAGCCCTCCACAATCTCTTCCATACGAACTCCCTCCTAATGACAAAGACAATATAACTTTAATTAGCTAAGTTTAAATTGTAAGGACCCCTTTAGGACTTAATAATGATAACCATAATATATTGATTATATAGAATTTATCAAGTCAAACTACACATCACATAAAAAGCAATCTGATGATGTCAAAGTGGCTATTATGCTGGTGTTGTTGGGGGAAACATATGTGTGCGTGCTCTCACCACAAACTGCTGCTGTGTGCCTCCCATGCTGGTGCGTCTCTGTGTGTCTTGGTGTGCTCTGACCAGCAGCTGGACCAGTCTGGGGATGGCCCCCTGCTCCCTCAGTGGAGCGTGGTTTGCAGGGCA